AGCACCGCTTCCTCAGGTGATACTGGCTGATTGAACGAGCGATACAAGAAAGAGACCTTGCAAAAAGAGACCCGCAGACAGAACGCAACAGACGGAACGCGAAGTGCAGACAAACCGCGCTACTGATCAAGTGCATTCCGTCGAGCACCAAAGAATTAACAATTTACAATCCTTTACTAACCCCATCAGCATGTAATCCAATCTCAGACTCAAACTTGCTCAACACTTGGCTGACATGTCGAATCTTTGCAAGCAGCAGTGCAAGATGTGAGCGGGCTCGACAAAGACTGGGCAATCCTGATTCGGAGGGAAGTGTTCGAACGCTCCTCACCCCGGTATACAGTGCCCCTTCTCCTCGTTCGTGGGTATGAACCAGACCTCGCGCATTTTTGGAGCTTCGAGCTGGACGAAGATCCCGTCTTTCGACCCGTGTTTCCAACCGCGCTCCCCTAGGCCCCGCCATCTCTGAACAAAACAGAAATCGCGAGCGGCATCGCTGGCAGAAAGCATACCTTGCGAACGGGCCACAATCCAAAATGATGGTTGTCCCGAAGACAAAACTGACAAGGTGTCTTCCAATCTATCGACAACAGGTGGAGCAGCAAAGCCCTCTCAAGTGCCGGACTAGAACTTGCTTTTCTCTTCACCACACGAAAGAATATGCAACATATGGAAGCAAGGAGGATGCAAGTTGAAAGACTATGACAAGCTCCGGTAGTTTGATGATTTAAGAGCGGGTTCCGACGTTTCTGGGGCTCACCTGGGGGAAGGAAATCTTGCTTTTGAGGGCCACTAAACACGCCGCATGCGCGCCCGTGTCCACTGCATACCGTCGAAGAAAGTCTACGCACTGCGCAAGCGTGTCTGGAGATTCGAACGCCTGCAGGCAGGTGCGCCACTTTTCAACGCGCATTAAGAACAGAGCCGTGCTGATGGGAAATACCAAAAGTGACGTCAAATCTGACGTCCAGACAGGTGAGACGTCAAGGGCGCATACAAAAGCAGCTATCAGACAGCCTCGGCAGTACGGTCAGGATGATATAATGGTACGGCTCTTGAAGGGTGGATCAACGCAGAGCAGTCCGCACAGATGAACGCTGAGATCCAACGGAGTGTCAGGGATCGTACGTGGCTTTCAAGCTTTTTCAAATCAAAAACCTTTGTGACTTGTCGGTCGAGGAGCTAGAACATGACTGCTCTCGTTCTTGTGTACCAAAAGCCTGACGACTTCCGAAAAATGGCAGACAGACTCTGCTGTTAAGACTATCAACCTCAGCGACCCGACCTCGCACTTTGCCGTCATGGGGCTAGGAGCCAGCAATCTCTGCTCACCTGGTTGATGGCCACTTGCGACTGATCTGCCTCCTGATTGGTAGACCCCTCTTTGTACCTTCCAGGCTGGAACATCACGGATGCATCCAGCTTGCCCCCAGCTTCAACAAAGTCGTCTGCGGCCTTTTCGAGCATCCTCTTTGCAAAAGCCCGCACCCTCGTTTCGCTGTATGGTATGGACGGCCCCAGACTCTGGAGACAAATGAAACACAGTTGCCCATCAGAACACTCTCGTCGAAGCGACTAGAGGCCAGCTCAAAAGCCGCAATCTGCTATTAGGAACGGGCGAATCGACCAGGAACTGACGCCGGCCATGTAACATGACGCCCTCGATTTCGCAGTTCAAAGCATTTAACAGTGCTTGAGGCCCGTACAGATCACAGAGCATACATAACGAGCACAGGAACAACCAGTCTTACGATGGTCACCTGGTCTGCTTTTGCCTTCTCGTACTCGTCCTCGTTTCTCACAGCCTCTTCTTGAGGTGGGCCTTTACCAGCCGCACTCCGTTTTGAGTCCCGTGCGAGACGGGTCATACCCCGGATCTTCAACGTTATGTCCTGACTCTTGGGGTTCAGTTCCGCAGCTTCTTTGAAGGCAGCCAGCGCCTGCAAGACGATTCCAGCTGGCATCAGATTCTTGCAACAGATCTGGGACCAAATATCAGGGAAACAGAGGCCACCAGGAAAGAAACGGTTTGACATGCTTGGAAGATGGAGAAGGCAGGGAAAACAAGGCTGGCTAAGAAGGGGCACAGTTCCTCACCTCATCATAGCGCTTAAGCGCCTCTAGTGCACAGCCTTTCCGGAAATAGCCCTGACAGACACAAAGACATAGAAGCGTGAGAGGCCTACAAGAAAAAATCTGTTCGAGCAGTGTTGCCGATGCAACCAGGGTGGTGTGATGAGTGAGCAGGAAAGGAGGGAACTTTTTCGATATCAACACTTTTGATCAAGACAACTGCGGTGACACATGCGCTTTTCTGCAATGCAGCACTCGATACTACAAGGCACAAATAGTGCGCTGACCTTCTCTTCAAATCACATCTGCCTGACAACTCAAAAGCACGTGCGAGAAGCTTGTGTTCAGTACTGATGACGGCACGTCCTCGATGGAGGGAAGAGTGGATTGCCTCGATGGCCCAACTACCACCATGACCCACCTTCTCCCAGGTTGGCCGAAGCTGGATTGTCTTCTCTGCATCTTCAAGTGCCTTTGTAACTTTGTTGAGCTGGAGAAAGGACGCGGAGCGGTTGCTGCAGACAGGAAAGGCAGAGTCAAATTTGAACATTTTCCAGACCAAGCTAAACCTTTGGGATAAAACCGAAGTGAGCTGATGCGGCGAAAGTTTGGCCCAACTCTGCCGTCCGCTGAGAGAATTCTTGATCATTCAAAGAAAGTGCGTCTAGAGCTGGCTGAATTATCAAAGCTGGTAAGTTACTGTAGTGCTCTGCTTTTGACCCCATTTTGGTGGTGGTGGTGGTGCTCAGCTTGGAGAAACCAAAAAATGAGTATGCAGCCAACACCTTTCCTGCACAACACTCGGTAACAGGAGCTCTAGAATCCTGCAAGATAGGTCTTAAAGAAATCTATACCTGAACAAGGTTGCATTGTCTGGGTCCTCTTTGATTGCCTTGGAGTACGTAGCTGCTGCTTTTAGGTACTGTGCTGCTTTGAAGTGCGCATTGCCCTGATCCTTGAGGCTTACAGTCTCCCCATCGCCACCCGCCATGCCCACACTTTTGAGCAAAAGGAAATGCTAATCCAATCAACTGCGAGGGCCTTTTTGACTCTGAGAATCACAGTTCAACGTTGAAATTGCACGCAATTCAATCTATCGCAGAAAGCTAAAGTTTTCCTTCAGATTAGCCATGCCTATTTGAGCAAAATAGAGATTGCTATGAGAAGCGCCTTCTAGCTTCTAGACAGCTGTCCTCTGCGCCCATCAAGCTACCTACATACCGTACCTATCCGCGCGCCCATAGATCAGCATCAAATGAATGGTTGCGCCCCTGCGTAGCTGCTTTCCTTATGCGCGCATTATATCGCGAGCACTTTTAACTGCAAGGTTTAAGAAGGCGGCCGCGCGGGCCCTTCCGCCGCGCCAGCGCAGAAGACTTATCCTATCTCTGCGCGCGATCGCTCGCGTGCAGCTCTGAGCTGACGCCGTAACCTCAGAGCGCACCACGTGGTGGCTTTTGTCGAGCGCTGCGTCCGTCATCCATGCACACCGTCACCATCTCGCTCGCATGCAGCCCATGACCGCCCATGGCCATGGCGACCGCCCAGTGACAAGACTTCAAGCTGAAACATCCCCAGTATGTATGCTTCTGATTGGATGCTTTCGCGGGTCATCAATGTACTTTTGCTCTTGCTCAGGTGAAGTGGCGCCAATGCAGCTCGTCTTCAGCTCGTCTTGCGGAAAGTCGCCGCATTCGGAGGAGTTCACGTGCTGACGATCTGGGCGTGCACAGAGGGGGCTGACTGCGTCAGGGACTGCCGCTTCGATGGTCGCAACGCTCTCGAAGTTCCGCACAGGAACGCCGGCAGCTAGCTTCTACAGGGAAGCGTCTGAGGCACTTCGCTCAGGCGCCAATGCTCGCAACGTCCACGTCAGATGCGCGCACCCGCAGGTCGTGAACGGCAAGGCGTATAAAAGCGAAAACGGCAGGGGTGACGGTCGCCCTGCCACTCCTGAAGCCAGAAGAGAGCAGCTGCGTGACCCCCCACCTAGCAGTGAGAGGCAATCACGTGGACCTCCCCTAAGTGAGGCTGAGAAGGAGGAGCTGCGCAGCGAGATGAGCACGCTGTCCAAGCGGGTGCAGGAGTTTGCGGGGCGGTGGGACCCGACGTGCGAAGACGCGGTGGACGTCGTCTTTGCGTCGCGTTATGGCCAGCAGCCGCTCCCCAAGTAAGCTCAGAAACTTCTTGCCTCTGACTGGCCTTGATTAAGACATTTGCACCACCATCTAAATCAACAGGGAACTTTTTGAGCAGACTCTAAGTGTGGTTTTGAGGTTCAGATCTCCGTACCTTAGCCGGGTGCTGAGTTGTGTCTGTGCATTGGATGCACGTTGGTTTAATGGCCAGCTCAAGGGGAGCTGTCCAGAGTTGTCCTCTCAGGCCCATGCACCTGTTGATAGTGGAGGACAGGGTGACGTGCTCCTAAAGAAAGATGAAAAAGGTCACTTTCCCTGATCATCAGAACGTGCGCATTCGCAAACCCAAGGTGAATGATGAAACATGAAGAACAATGGACAGCTGGTCCAAAGTGTTCCAGGGTTTCATACCACCCTCATCCGATTTGATTGATCGTTCTTTTAACTTGCTCTCTGCATTGCACCTGTATTGCGTGGCCAAGTCCCATTACTTATCCTGTAGCCATGGCACACCATTACAAAAAGGTCAGCGATGAAAGGGTCTCAGAGATTCCATTGAAAGGCCCTCATTCTGGAGAAATTAGTATTGAAGATCTGGAAGCAGAGTCTCAACAGGTTCAGAATCCTGACAAGTATAGCCTGACAGTGAGAGAGTGGCACCTGCATCCAGACTGTTGATATGTTCTCTCCAGCATTGCATTCTCACAGTGGTATGATGGGTACTCATTGTCTGATCTATCTTTCTAGCCTACTGGCTCTTTTGAATCTCTGAGAAATGTGTGAAAGAGGTTGCGCACATTTTGTTTTAATGAAATTAAATAGCTGCTCCATTGGCAGACACTCATTTACGACTTTTGCCTGCATTCTTGTAGTCGTTTCTGAATCCTGTAATGCGACCTTTGTATTGACACTTTCATTTGTCAGCTTGTATTCCTTGTTTCAAGTCTGTCTGTCGTGGAGAGTGTCTTGGCCTTCTCCTCAACGATTTAAAAGTGGTTGTCATTGTTGTCTGCGAATGATGCGGTCAATGGCCCTTTCTTCCAAGCTCCCGGAAGTGGTAACACGCGGGGAGCACAATCCTGGAGTCAGAGAGCAAAAGGGCAACACAGATAGCAATGTCACACAAGGCCAGAATCGGTTGGGAAAGGAGAGATTTCCCTTTCTAGCATTATTAGTCTGAGTGATTGCAACGCAGCGAGTCACTCACTTTGAGCTTTTTGGGTGGTTTTCAGCTCGATCTAGACGGGGACACTCCACATAGTACCACCGCTGCTTTTAGCTTTGAAGCGAACAACCTCGAAAGCTTGCCAGTGATGTCTTTCAAGAGCGAAGACTCGGTGCAAGGGTCCCGCTCAAGGTTTTATCATCTAGCGTGACCTTCGTGACCTCGAACATAAGACCCGCTTTCCACTTTTGAAGCTTGACGCTAGATTCGAATGCATTCCCATTTTTATGCGAGTTCAGGGAGACTGTCGTTGATCTGCAAAGATACGTTGTAAGGAAATGTTGGCAGAACGATTGTGAAAGGGTCATCGCATTCTGCCTTCCATCACCACGTCGTCACACCTCCCTGATCAGATCGGAGTGCATATTTCGAAGCTCAGAAACACGTCAATTTTACCCATCGGTCAATCAAGTCGACGTCCGTTCGAGGTCACTTCGACCATCAGATTCGTCCGAGTTCTTTGTACGAAGCCCGTCTGTCCTATCCGCTGGCATTCCACAATACGCCATCTTCAGAACCACCTTCCGTTGAGGCAAATGTCTCTCTGTCCGTCCCAACCTGTCCTAGTCGAACTGCCAACCTTCCTAAGCGAAGAGTTTCTCATTCCTATTGGCAATCAAACGCGCCCTCCGATTCTGCGGACTTGCGGCGATCTGGCCCCTTCGCGACCCACTCCTCCCGACGTTAGTGACTCACCTTTCGAAGAACACACTGTCCGAAACCGCACCGTCCGATTTATTCCTTCGTCCGCAGGTACGTCATTGTGGAGAACGAGTTGGGCAAGACGAAACTCAAGAAAGATAACATTAATCCGAGATAATGATAAGGGAACCGCACTGAGACGGGCAGGGTTAGTTTGGTGGTTAGGGTGGGTATGGGTGCGGAGCAGGCATCTTTTGGGATTAGGAATTTGTGTTGGCGGAAGCTTATTGTTATCTTTCTGGAGAATTTGCTGGGGAAGGAGGCGGCGTACCAGGTGATTGCTTACGTCCGCATCCACACCGTCCAAAGCCTTTCTTTTCTGCCCGTCCGCAGGTACGCCATCGCGGAGAACGAGTTGGGCAAGGACGTGGCGTACTAACAGGTGATTGCACCAAGCCCTTATCGTCCGGATTCGCACAGTCCGAACCCTTTCCTTCTCCCCGTCCGCAGGTACGCCATCTCGGAGGACGAGCTGGGCAAGGACGCGGCGTACCAGCTTATCGCACCGAGCTCTTGACGTCCGCGTTCGCAGCGTCCGAACCCTTTCTTGTCCCCCGTCCGCAGGTACGCCATCTCGGAGAACGAGCTGGGCAAGGACGCGGCGTACCAGGTGATTGCGGACCACCTGCAGATGGACGGCAAGCCGCGGCTCAACCTGGCCAGCTTCGTGACGACCTGGATGGAGCCCGAGTGCGACAAGCTGCTCACCGAGGCCTTCAACAAGAACCTCGCCGACCTTGACGAGTACCCCGCCTCCGCGGAGCTCGAGGTGAGGCGGGGCATCGGACGCTCGCGGTTCTCGTCTTCGGACGTCCGCTTATCCTGGTTAGGCCAGAATTTGCGTACGGACGTCCTTTCAACATGAATCGCGCGGGAAATCAGCCTGGGACATCCGTTCGCATTGCTTCTGGCGGAGGTCCGCTTGTAAACAGAACGGCCGTGTGAACGATCTTGCTTTAGAATGAATTTCAGCCCGTGTTGTGGAAATTGCTGTGAAGGTAGTTGTAGGTGTGCTGGACGCCTGTAGCAATTGCTCCGGATGGGTGAACTGGACATGTGTGCACGTTCGTTTCCACAAGAGGTCTTTCTCGTCATTTGGGTCCACCTTTATGGGGTGGTGCGGTTGGACTGCAGGATTGTGCTATTCAAACGCTCACTTTCTTCGGTGGAAGTGAGAGCGCTTGTTTTTGCTTCGGCGTAACAAAATTCGGACAGTGGAGGATTCTGGATGGGCAAGGCGTTCGTCGTGTTGCTTCCACAGTCTTTGAACGACAGCCATGTACTCGGTCTCACTAAGCGCCATCGGTTATGCAGGGACTTGACTTAAGTCAGCATGGTTATCTCTCAGGACTTTCCCGGGCTCTGATCTTTTGTCGAGTACGGCGAGCTCGTGTCGCAGTCTGCGGTGTCGCAGTCTGCGACAACCCCGCTCCTTTGACATCTGCAGAAGCGGTGCGTCAACATCATCGCGCGGCTGTTCAACGCGCCGCTGGAGGAGAACGAGATGGCGCGCGGCACGTCCACCATCGGCTCGTCGGAGGCCATCATGCTGGCGGGGCTGGCCATGAAGCGGCGCTGGCAGAACCGGCGGAAGGCGGCTGGCAAGTCCATCGACAAGCCCAACATGGTTGTCGGCTCCAACACGCACGTGAGCCTGCGTTGATTCATTCGCTTGCAGTCGCTTTGTAATCACGGTTTGCGCTGGTTTTTTGTTCGAGATAGGAGTATGGTTTAGTATGCAAGTTCGGTCTGAAGGTGTGGGGTTTTGATCCTCATCTTCTTCAGTGCCCATGTTTACTTTTGCCGTCGTTACAATCTGTCAGTGAACCACAATCATAAGAATGTTTCGAAATCATCCTGTGCTGAGCGGGGATTCAATCCAATTGTCAGCGATCTGCTGTGCTTGAAATGCATCATAGCCGCACTTCAAAACCGCAGTAGTCAAGGACGTTGACGAAACCCGTTCCGCTCCTTCCGTTGTTCCGCTGCAGGTCGCCGTCGAGAAGTTCGCGCGCTACTTCGACGTCGACACTAAGGTGATCAACGTGGATTCGGACGGGTGGGTGATGCGGCCCGAGGATGCCGTGGGAGCTTGCGACGAGAACACGATTGGCATCTTCGCCATTGTGGGGACGACGTACACCGGGCACTTTGAGGATATTAAGGGCATGAACGACCTGCTGGAGGACAAGAATCGGGAGACCGGGTGAGCAGCCCGGGAGCCTTTTAAGGAAGGCCCATTAAAGCCTCGAAAATCCACTAAAAAGTCTATGGGTACATGTTTGGTGTTTTGAGCAAGGACAGCAGCACATTAAATCTTCCTTGAAGAGAGCCTACGAGCCTTTCCAAGGAAAGCGCATTGAATAGTCAAGAATCCGCCAAGAAATTTCATGAGGACATGCTCGTTGTTCTGAGCAGTGGCAGCATCAGATCAAATGGTCCTTGAAGAGAGCCTACAAGCTTCAAGGCTTCCTTGCCGTTACCGGCTGGTTAGCGGAGGCTCGCCAAGCTGGCAGTCGTTCTCTAAGCTGACGAAAAGGACTTATGTGAAGTATGGCGTGGCATGTTCGTCTTATCCTGGTTGTCACTGACCGCCTCTGAAACACCTTGCCGATCGCTTCGCCCGCTTGTCGCCGTCACCCCGAGCTCTCCTCAATACCGCAAGAGAACAAGCCCACTAGCAGACCGCGCAGCAACACTCTAGACCGCAAACAAACAGACCCCCCGCAAACAAACAGAACCCCGCGCAGGTGGAACGTGCCCATCCACGTGGACGGCGCGAGCGGGTCGTTCGTGGCGGCGTTCGCGCACCCGGAGCTGGCGGTCGACTTCCGGCTGCCGTGGGTGAAGAGCATCAACGTGAGCGGGCACAAGTACGGGCTGACCTACCCGGGCGTCGGGTGGGCCATCTGGCGCACGCGGGACGACCTGCCCGAGGACCTGCTCTTCCACGTCAACTACCTCGGATCCGAGCAGGTGCGTCAATCGTGGATTCTCTCCTGAGCTTTCAGGGGGACATTGGCCTTGCGGTTGAGTCCGAGGTCCGGGGTTTGGGATTTGGGTTTAAGGATTAAGGTTTTAAGAAAAGGGTTTTGGGCTTTGCGGACCTCCATTTGAGAACCTGCTCTTCCACGTCAACTACCTCGGCTCCGAGCAGGTGCGTGAACCCGTGAGTCTGAGATTCAGGGCTTTGTTGGTTCTGTTAGGGCTCTCGGTTCTCCGCTTTCGCACTGTCAGGGGCCGGTTCGCCCTGTTAGGGGTGAGTTCGAGGTCCAGGAGTCGGAAAATGAGTCAGGGTCCGGTTTTGGGGTTTTGGACCCCGGTACCTGTCGGATGTCTTCGGGGACCAAGTATTTCCAAAAAGAATACCTGGGCTCTTCGAGTAGGACTATAGCGTGTCCCATGAGGGTGAATTTCGGGGCTTCTCCCCTTGGAAGTTGGGTTTGCGGTTCGTTGGTCCGCGCTGTTCGGGGTAAGTCCGAGGTCCGGAATTTGGGCCTCGGGCTTCAGGACGGGTTTCGGGGTTCGGGTTATGGGTTCCGGGATTTGGAATTTCTGGAGGACGTTTCCCAACGACCTGCTCTTCTACGTCAACTACTCGGGCTCCGAGCAGATCGGCGCGCAGGGGGAGCCAACTGGCCGGGGATTGGAGCAGCTGTAGAGGGGTTACGAGTTGTGAACTCATGGGCAGACCAATGGTCTTGGAAAGTTGTATCTGTGTGGGTTCTAGTTTCTGTGAAGATTGGCTGCGGCATGTTTGGAGCTAGGACGTGGTGTGTTCGTGAGTCGCCTGTTCCAACGTTTCCGATTTGACTGTTCACAGTTCCGATGCGGGAAGCTGGGTCATTTTTAGCATCATGTATAGTCAAGAGGAATGTTTCTGACAGTAAACAAGGAAGCCTATCTGAGAGTCGCCAGCACCAGAAAGAAAGAGCTGATGCAGAGGCATGAGGGGTTGCAAGTTGGACTTATACACCCACTTGACATCATCTCCCTTGTTTGCAGGCGACGTATACTCTCAACTTTTCAAAAGGTGGGTTCCGATCCAAGCCCTGATACGCACTTGCTCTCCTCGTCCGCATGGACTGATCGAATCTGCTATTGCCGGGGTACCACTTGTTGAATGCGTCTGCGTTTGCACTACTGGACACTTCTACAAACTTGCGCTCAATGGAAGTTTCCGCGATGCAGGATCTGGGGGCGTGGTCGCGCAATACTACCAATTCATCCGGCTTGGACACAAGGTGCGCCCGAACGACTCTGTCAACACTGCTTACAGGTCAAGCAGACGCGAAAATGAGACCGTCTGTTTATGATCGTGACCAGAACCTTGGAACAGCACTTGATCGCGATACACTCTGGCGCTTTACCCTCAGACTTGGCGTCTCTTTTCCTTCGGGAATAGAGGGAGCAAGCCTAAAAGTCACTCTGAATAGTCTGCGGATATTTCAGGCAACCGGACCTTTGCAACCAGATGAACAGCATGTTCATTTTCGCTCCTGTAGGGGTTCAAGAAGATCATGGATAACTGCATCGCGAACTGTCGCTACCTGACCGAGCGCATCGAGCAGGTGAGTACCTATATAGGACTCGGGCGATCTTGCGAGGCTGACATCACGCGTCTTTGCTCAAGTCATGATCTCCCTTTCTTGCATGTCCGAAGGCACGATAGATTCTGGGCTATATCCAGAAAGAACCAAGAAAGGTCTCCTTCTCAGCTTTGTTCCTTCGGGCTCTCTTTCGGGGAAACCCCGTTTTCACAGCCGTTTTCTCGCCAAAGCCTCTAGAAATGCAAGCGTGCCGTCTTTTCAGTGTTATCTCAAGACAGTTCCCTTTGACGTCCACTTCCAGCCGCCAGTCAGAGTTGACACCTCTCTATCCTATTCTTGAAGCGCCTCCGCTAAATCTGCAATTGAGCTGTCAAAGCCCTCACCATCATCCCCCCTGAATTTTGCACTCACCTCTTCCCCCAGCTGGGAGCCTTCGAGATCATCTCTTCCGCGGCAGACATTCCGGCCACTCCGCTCGTCGCGTTCCGCGTGAAGGACCCCAGCCGCTTCAACGAGTACGACTTCGCGAAGAACCTGCGGCGCCACGGCTGGATCGTCCCGGCCTACTCGCTCCCTCCAACCGGGGACGGCCCGACCTGCACCGCACTCAGGGTCGTCGTCCGGGAGGACTTCTCCCGGGGGCTCGCCGACTGGCTGGTGCAAGACATGCAGACGCTCCTCGAGGAGCTCAACGGGTGAGGCTCATAGGCTGCGTCTTAACGTTGATGCTGTTCTGGATGTTAAGCCTGCGGTGTTAATAAGAAGGGTTGTGAATCTTCAATCATGTTACTGAATTTGGAAGTCGGTAGTCTGTCTTATGCTCGCGAAGGGCATCCTGAAACCGGGGCTTAGATTTTGGGTTCGATCTTTGGTGCTGTACGTTGCCCCCCTGCGTCAAACTTTTACGGACAGAACACGATTGTTGACTGCGTTCCGCAACCAGGCGTCCTTGTCACTGTTTTCCGTCGACTCTTTCCCATGCATCGTTTGGGACTTACTGCACACGGAGCCGGGATTTGTTACACGTGTTTTTCGGGCTTGCGCTGGAGTATTAAGCAGCAATGGGTTTCACAGACTTAGTATACTTCGAGGATTGCCGCTTTCATGAAATCCTGGTTCCGCTCGCAGGCTGCCCAGCAAGACGGCAATGCGCGCGGCGAAGCAGATTGAGAACATGGCGCTGAACGAGTCAGACACGCTTCAGATCTCAAAGGACGCGGTCCTGGAAGCACACAAGAAAGAGGGGCGCATGAAGGATGAAGACACTGACGGGGATGGACGGAGAGTCGAGAAGAAGGGATCACACGTGGTGAACAAAGAGAACCCGATTTGTTAGAAAGTGGGCGGAGGTAATAGTGGGCGGTTTGAAACAGGTGATTTTATGCAGAGCACTACCCGAGTGATTGTAACATTACCGAATTCGTTCGCCATTTTTGACTCAGCAGGGGCTTGAAAATTTCAGGCTAGGGGCGCGAGTTCGTCCATCCACCTTGGGTCGCATCTGCGGAGACTGATCGCGATGTTTGTATTCTTTGGGAAAGGTACCATTCTTGTAGGTAGTGACAAAAGAAGTCGTGGTACGTAAGGCTCGGGAAACTGTTTCGTAGGTATAGTCTATGGCCGATGTGGTAGGATTGGGTCACGCGCAATGCACTTGTACATGAAGAGATTTACAGCAGCCTGGTATGAAATTATGTCTGATAGTTTGCGCTAAACACACGTCTAATTGAAGGTGCGCGAGCTCGTTTATGTGTACAGATCAGTGACGCGTCCTCTCAATTGCTTCGGTTGGAGTCTACTTTGACTTGAATTATGCCAATCATGGTGACTGCCAATTGGTAAAGAAGGTTCCTCAAAAGGAAAACCTCACACTCCATGCCGCGTGACCACATGTGCAATGAATAATTTTCCATCATCCTGCAGCGAGCACTGGGGATAATTTGAGGACTCTTGAGAAAATCGCGCAGCCAGAAGAATTCGAAAAAGATTTTCATCCGACACTCTATGTGCGTGCCAAGAGATTGCAAATGTGCATGGCAACAGATGCAAACATCCGTAAAATCCCAGTTTGTGGTAGCGGAGTGTACGGAACGTAATAGACAAAAGTAATTGCACAAGTAGGTAGATGAAGCGGAAGAACACATATTGCCAGTGCAGCGTACCTTAACCGTTTGTAAACGTCTTTGAAGTAATCGTTCCGCGCGTCCGATTACGTAGATCCCTACTGGGACTCAATCATGCCAGCTAGCCTATCGCTTAACTCGCATAAGCCTTCTTGGTTGGAACTTAATTGCATGCACACCAGGCTTCACTTAATGCAAAAGCCTCTCATGCCTGAAATTTCATACGGCATTTTCTGTCTGATAAATACAATCTGCCAGATTGGCGCGGTCCACGCCACAGCCCGTTCATTCGAGACGAAACTTAAGACACATTCTTATTGTCTTCTCTGCACCGATGAAGAAATAAAAGCCTTATGAGATGTGACATCCGGAAAGCACAGCCCGCAAATCCTTCTTCTTAGGAAGCATACTGTTGTGCAGCGCTGTCTATCTTGTGGTACGAAACGTCAAAATCAATCTTTAGGTACTTCACGGAATAGGACGACAAAAGCGTTTGCACTTAGCAATAGGCGGCACCTCAAGCAGCATCCTGTCACGAATCCGTACCGCCCCACGCTTCTGCTGACTTCGACGAGCGTCTTTTGTACATCTTAAAAGGCATCTGTCGTCAACATTCCGGCGGGACTTGCTAGACACGAGGGTTCTCACTAAGTTCGATCTCCTAGCTACAAAAACAACTCCAAAAGAGCCGTGTTGCTACCGATGTCACAGCCCAGAGGGCACCGATAGGCGTCTTTCTCCGCCTCATCGTCAGACTGCTCCTCGCCCCTCGTTTGGCGCGCTGCGGGAGTCGTAAAGTACGTTTCCAGGCACGACCGGCAGTAGATTGCGTGGCCGCAGCTGAGAGCCGCCTGCCGCGTATCGGGGCCCCACCTCCGGAAGCACATCTGGCACTCCCAGTCGGAAGCCGACGGTTCCTCCTGTACAAATTCGTAGGGTAGAGATTATAATTGTGGTTGACATATACAAGATCTGGGGTAGTCCGACGAAGGAGAACATGGCTTCCCCACGGCTTTGCGTTTGGATCGTAATCAGCTTCCCAAGGGGAAGCCCTCATCGGGCTTCGATGATGACGCAAAGGCTTCTTACGTGTGTCCTTCGGTCGAAAGTTATGCTTATTCTCAAGGATTGCATCGTGAAATGTTGATCTGGGTTAGTCAGAACAGCGCATGAAATCGTTCTTCTTTCAACCAGGAAGCGCCCTCCTTCTGCATCTACTTGGAACGAGATCCGCCCACCAGACATATTGTTGTCTTTTCAAAAGGCACATCGGCACTATACTGCGGAGCTTACCTGACGTCTCTCCCGAGTGCGCTCAGCCACGTGTTGGATCTCGCCAATCTCCTTGTCCAGATTCCGCCTCTCAGCTTTCAGGACTTCCAGATAGCCCGCCGCCTTATTCGACAAAGACGTCTTGACCCGCTTGCAGGCCTGACGATACGCGTCGGTCTCGTCGCGGAGCTTTTGTTCGTCCTCTTCCATCTCCCTGAGTAAAAAGTGGAAAACTTGTAAGCGCAGAGCTCACAAGCTGAAAGATACCGTTAAGCGCTACGAAAACCGATGGTTCTGCCTTCTTCAGATCAGCCTTGGCAAGGAAACACCAGGTGCACTCTTCACTTGAAAGAGGAAGTTAGTGCATGCGAATGTTAGCCCGCAGATAGCACTTGCTTAACCACATTAATGCAGAGTCCTGTTGCTGAAACGAAGCCTGCCAAATACGAGGCGGAATCTTGCAGGCACAGGGCACCTTGGGCCCGAACAGGGCCGGACTCGGGCGGAGCCGGAGCTTCCGCTCCGGAAAAGCTGCGGACGAACCGGAACCACACCCCGGTTCAAGGCCTGTTCTTAGCGAACACGAACCGATTCTCGGCACTCGGAGATGGTTCTCGTGAACCGAGTTCTGTTTGCTGTGAACCGGCCTTAAACCGGGAACTAGCTCCTGTTTGTCCGCCACTTTTTCCGGAGCGGAAACTCCGGTTCCGCCCGGGTCCGGCTCCTTTAATTTCGGAGCCAAGGCACCCTGTGAGGGGCGCGCTCACCTTTTAAGGGTCGCCTTCGTGCTGTCACGACCTTGCGCCCCCGCACGAGGCTCGCTCAAGGAGTCTACCGGCGCACACCGCGCCCTCCTTTCAGAAGCGCATTTGCACACAGAGCAATTTATTCGTCAGAATTTCCAGCACCCGATAAGTTGTGTTCGTGCGCGCTGGCCCAAGAAGATCAAGCTCCTTGAAAGGAGAACAAGAAAGAGGAAAAGAAAGGCCGAAGAGGTAGTAGACCAGACAGCAGGACATAACACCAATAGTGGTTTCCTCCCAGGGGTTTAAACATGTTTGAACAGGAAAACGATACTTGTCAGTCGGCGCCAATGGGACGGTGCATGAACAAGGCGAGTCGACGCCAATTATCCTGGCCCCGTTCGCAACTTTGCAATTGGGGGCCCTGTAATTTAAGAAGGAATCATCATACGCTGCATAGAGTTTTTAAGAAAAAGTTTGATGTACTGCATATAAAAATAAGAAAAACATGCAAGAGTCCCTGAAAGGACATCTGGTTCAGGGAGCATCCAAAGAGCACGTAGTTGGGCCAACGTGCACGGCCAAGAAATCACCCCAATCATGCATAATATCATGAGCCGTTCCAGTCTTTTTGGTCCCTCAATATCTGCAGAAGCATGATGGAAGAGCAGCAGCCTGCATGCCAAGATAGAGTAGCACTCTCTTTAGTGCCTACCTACGCACCCTGCGCGCATGATAGTAAGATCGTTCCGGATCGAGGTCCTCCTCGCTTGCATAGCTGCCAGAACCCCGCTCCATCAGTCACTGCTAATCTGGCAGCTTATCTCTGTGGGCTCTTCCGCATGACGCAGACTTTTTCTGATGGAGATGCTTCCTATCTCAAAGACGTTGTACCCCTTGTAAGATCAGTGCTCCTGAGTTGCTCATAGATTTGCTGCGCCGCTCAAGTTTTGGGCTCTGGTTCGCATGGCCCCCTCGTAGTGGGCTGGATGACTAAAGCAGCTCCTAAAGGCGTGATCTGGATAATTATAAGGAGAGGGGAAAGCGAGGGCGGCACTCAAGTCGACGGGAGCTTTATACAGATGAAGTGATTGCTGAACTCGTCTTTTGGCGCGCAGTGACAAGCCGCTCAAACCAGGCACGCATGCAATTACTTCGTCAAATGATTCCATTGACAAATGACACAAAGAGAGAGTCGAAGACCATCTCTCCCAGTCACACGTGCAAGGGCCGCTTGTACCGTGACGCAACTCGACCCTTCGGCTGGCGTATGGCAGGAATTAGCGTTTTGGGCAGCGATTTTAGTGCCCATTTTTGTCTTGGTGTCAAAGAATTCTCCTGGTGTTTTTTGATTTCTTGTGATGACATACTGTAGTTGCTACACAGTTGCTGACGCATATACAGCAAATCCTGCGTCATGACTCAACAGGTGACGTCATAATCCGCACGTCCGACGGCAAAGTTGCGCGCAGCAGGGCCCTGAGTCTCGACTACGACAGTAGCATTGCACCTTGGCCTGTAGACGGGCTCATGTTACACAGACAGTTTAGTACTGTGAAGGGGTTGGGAGCGCTCGCCTCATCGGATATTGAACAGCTGAAGTTCTACCGTTGCAGAACGTCGCTCGCAATAGAAGCAAGGTGGGCGTAAGAACTCAGTGACCCAATTTTGCAGGTACCTGATTGTCAATACAAGGCCCTAGGCATTGAAGAAGGGGCCAGATTTGCTACGCTTGACGACAAATTTGGGAAGAATTCAGCAAGGCACGGATGCGCCCTTGATTCGATGTGCTGCTTCTGCTGACCTTGGAATGCACAGGACGTTCCTGTGCTCCTTCTGCTTGGAATCGCGCAGTTGCAGCTTGTCTCAAATTGCACGATGCATCTGCATCCGGCAATTCCCTACGTGCAGAGAGTTGATAGGCTAGTCAGACGTGGCTTTGCACTTTTCTCATGGCTTGCTAGACCGGCTCGCAGGCTGCCCAGCAAGACGCCGATGCGCAATATGGTTATCCACCACGTGTCCCTCTCTTTCGCGTCTCCAAAAACACCAGGCCAGGCCGCGAGATCGTGCACCTTGTTTCACGCCTCCGTGAACTGGAGTCGGTGATTCCAATCAGAAAGGTGACGTCTTGTATAGGGGATACAAGTTTTTGATATAAGCAAGAGCTGAGAAAGCTTTCGAAGGGCAGTCGATGCACTGGGTCTAGTACGCGCGAAGCATTCGTACATGAAGAGCTTCATTTCTTGTTGATAAGAGGAATCGACAAGGACACCACGTCGCTTCACTCCTCCTTCATTGCGAGTTCTTCTATATTGGTACCTTACAAAATTTGGTTCGTTCCTCTACATGCCAATTTAAATGTTGATTGAATCCGTAAAGGGTATACCGTCATGAAAGAGTCCGGGATGCTTACTATATAAAGGTGTTATTAAAGGTGTTATGTTTACCATTTGCATGCCGTGTAATGGTGTGGCCAATAATTGTAATCCGACGACATGCTTATCGGCCAGCATGTCGGCTTTGGTACTTTCCTTTTTTGGATCTGATAGTTGCCGCCTGACATAAATACCGTTACGCATCAACGTCTTGAGGAGATACCAAATTTGACGATGACAACGATCAGATGGTTACCATAAGAACTCGGATCTGAGCTCATGTGAAAGAGCTAGAAGAGAGTCGATCGGTCATTATTATGCTTCCACCAAGGCCGGACAACCTATCAAAAATGCTAAAGATTTGTAAGACTAATTGGACATGTCCAAGTACCAGTCAAGGAACTTGTCCGACTTGAGGACCCCAAACCTAGCAACGCAAGCTTCTCCCAGCAAAACTCCAAGTAAGAGGACGGCTTCCTCTTCCTGCAGGATAAAGAAACACCTGGTTCAGCAGACGAGTTTGACAAACGACCCAGAGATGTGATGTGACCAAGCAGCGCACCAAAGAAACCATAGTTGCAGAACGACGTCTCAAACAACTGCTTATCGATTCAAACTTCAAGCATTTATCAGCAATACACTTCTAAATAATCGCAGGTCTGACGAGTAACTCACGTCCTGACGACTCGCATTGAAGACTAGAATCGAGAAAAGCCGTGTGAGGCATAGAATTCACCAGAGCTTCTTGGGAGCAGGTTTGGCTTGTCTCAAGCTCTCGTCGAATCTGCGTCAGCAGGGCCGCGGTCTCGTGCCAGCCGCTGACCCGCTCCAAAAGGTGCCCACCCGCGCCGCGTTGCGTCAGCAAGGGCGCCATCCGCGCGCGCGCGACCCAGCGGATGACGTGCGCCTTCACCGAAACAAATAAATCCGTTATGACTCATCTGAAGGAAGACTCTAACGGACGTTCATTGGCAAGAACGAACTATGTATTGCTTCAATGCCACGGTATGTTGATGGAAGGAGAACCGCAGGCTATGGGATCACGATCCGAGGTTTGAGATCACCTTCGGCACAGCCTTTTGAACCGTCAGCAGATTCTGCATGACCTTTTCGATCCTCAGACATCGCTAGCTAGAATGAAGATTGGGATTTCCGATTTATCTGTGTTTGTAAACCGGTAAATCCTTGAAATAGAACGGCAGAAAACCTCTCCTGGACAACAGCGTTACTTGAGTTCGAAAACGAAGTCTTCGATCCTGCCTTACCGGTGGGGCATAGACTTGGAGGCTCTCCCCAGTCTTTCGCAGGTGCCCAAAGTGGAGTCTCCCCATTTCGTTCGTCAGACGCCTCTCGCCCGCGCGCAGCGCCTTGTCGAGCGCCGAACGGTCGTGCCCGCGGGGCGCCGAACCGCTCGCGAGCAAGGAAAAGTAATCCTCGTCCGCTCGAAGTGGTCTGCGGAACGGGACGAAACCGGAATAAGGACAAGTCAGGATGTGAGGTCTCACGTGCCGTAGTTGCGAGGAGAGTGCATGTCGCGCGCGATTGCTCGATTCGCCACTTATGTTGATATAGAAAAGTTGGCCCGACTGAGGAAATGGTTGGGTGATCCCCAGAAGAGTCTTGGTTAAGAGCGTTTGGAGGTTTCAGACGGGAACGAATTGTGAACTCGGATCAAGATCAAGGGATTCAACGTTTAGAAGATGAAGTGGAACAACAGCTCGCAGATTGCCCAAGAGACGAATCGGTAAGAGATCGTAGAAAAAGTGAGAAGAGGGCACTCAAGAGCAAGCAGAAGAGCACAGAAGCTAAAGTGAAGGTTCTGAACAAGAATGGAGTGTCCACCGTTTTTTATTCCGAAGACGGGAGTAGCTGTGTGTGTGGAGAGCTCGTTCCCAGGTCAAAGAACACTCTGGAATTCGCAGTCGAATCCTGGATGGTCCACTGTTTGACATACTTTGGCGTTTTTGTAACTTAAGCTTGGACCGCGGGAAGAAATCCGTTGAACGTACTTTGTGGAGATAAGCCCGAGAGATTCCACCCATGTTTCGTTAAGTCAAGCATAAGGTTTTTAGACGCCGGCTTTTTTGAATCTCGAAAATTGCAGAAAAGATCATTTACCTGTGCTGCAAGCAGAAGCGCAGCAGGTTCTTCTGACGACAGTCCAGCCTTCTGATGTGCTCGGCCGTCCCCGCGGCCAGTATGTTGGACAGCCCCCGGTAGACTTCACCGACGACTTCCTCCTTCCAGATGTTCTGCAGAACATGAAGATCTCCCTGAATTACAAGCCTTTCATCGATCATAGTCATACGCGGCCATTTCCTCATGCTCTGAGCAAATCGCACAAGTGCTGCTCAGAGCGGGCCCATCACCGAAAGCAAAAAGTCGTTTTTGCTCAGCGGTGTAGATCAGCAGAGGAAGATGCTCGAAAGACTTTGTTCAGAAGCTTACCTTGCACAAGGCGATCGACAGCTTGTCGGCGGCCGCCTGCTTCGCCAAGCGTTCTACCTGGTGCCTCAGCCCGTGGAAATGGCTTTGCAGCCGGCTGAACTCTCTGTAGAGGCCGTTAGCCTCGAGCTGCTCATCGTCGGTGTAATAATCCGGCGCAGACTCGGACCATGTTCCAGAATCCCCTGAAACAAAACGTTCAGCTTTTCAGGACAAAAAATGGCAAAGACGGAGGACGTTAGTCAGAAGATTTTTGTCTTCTCTGCCCCTGCGTAGCGTACACCCAAGCGGATACGTGGAGTTAGAAACTTGCCCAACTCTCAGGAGAGCAAGCATGAGCAAGGCTGCATCTGCAACAGGCTCTACACTCTTCGAATCCTTCGCAGCTGATTGCATAGAAGCCCGAGAAAGCCACTAAATTCAGCTGACTTGCGAGTTACATCGCGTTGCAAAGTTGCACAAACGTGCTCAATTAAGGGAAGCTTACCCAGGCAACCTTTGGTGCTGTAGGGATTGCCGCTCGCCCACCAGTAGTCCTCTGCCACGTGCGCCCACGTGCCAGCCACCGCCGCCCTCTTTGTGAATGACGTCATGGTGGACGCGAAGCGCAGCGCACGTCGCTTCTTAAGCGCTTCGACTCGAAAGAGAGGTCCGCACCTCAATGTGGAGCGCCGGAAGCGAGGAAAGTGTTTGAGGCGAAAGATAATAGTCGTGCAGTCCCAGAGGCGGGGGTGCTTTGAGTTTGTTCAAAGCTTGCTGGCGACGAGCTTTGTGAGTTTTGCAGCTCCTAATCTGGGCTGTATGCGTAGAGCGTCAGCTGACTTGCGAAGCTTTGGTGAACCGAATGAAGGGAGGAAGCTTTTATACTAGCCCCGCTCACATTCACAGAGTCAGATGGTGGAGCAGCTGCTGGACTCCAGCTCATCGTCACCGTGACGTCTCTTGGGAGCTGCTGACTCGTATTGTAGAGCTGCTCCGTGCTCCATCAGCAGACTTCATACTAGAGCAGAAAAGATGAGAATTCTAGCGTCAGCTGAGTCAACTTTAGGCCGGCCGGCGGCAACTTTCGTTTTGTAGGTCTTCCAGGGTTCATCTTGAGCGTACACGTGTCACCTTGGGGCTGTATAGCTGCCACGTACGCGTCGGCCTAGACCATGTGGAAGCTTGACGCAATGATTCAGGATTAGTTGGCGTCAAAGCGCTACACTAGGTGCTCCAAACCTGCTAGGCTTACTCAGCTGAGTAACGGAAGCGTCGACAGCGGGATCGCAAAGTTGTTCAAAATGGCTCTTAATGAACGAAGTCCTCGACACCAGCTAAGATTGGCATGCGTGGAGCTGATGCAACTTAGATTGTCATTTACGCCTCTGCATCGCTATCATATAATCACCTGCGAGTTGCGATCCATTGGTAAAGGATAGTACTGGGGGTTGGAACGTACATACTGCAGCTCATGATGTGCCCTTTGGCTGCTAACTCATCTCGGATGCTTGGCTTCCCAGGTGTTTCAGAAAATAGTCAAGGAAGGTCTACCTCTTCGTGACTCGGTCAGGTTGCGAAATTTGGGCCGTTCGATAAGCAACTTAAAGCTAGATGGACGGCTCGAGTCTGATATCGCTTTGACAGCTCAGAGTGCCTGTGGGCGCGCGGAGGTCGATAGTTAGATGATTGGGCCTCATGTGTGCGACCTTACAAATCATCCGCGTGAGCTGATATAGTCCGCTGCCATAGCGAAACTCCTGATAGTTTACATTCTTAAGCTCCAATTGAGGCACGTCGAGAATCAAGCTGCGTATCTTTGCTCTCAAGTATTCAAGATATGCGGATTGCGAAAATCAATCGGAGTTCGATACAGATACATCGAGTTCGACCTCAATCTCTTCCATACATAGAAGCATTTTCCTTGAGTAACTGTGACGAGATAGACAACATCGTAACATCCAGGGAAGCCATTCTCCAAGAGACAACTTTCGTGGTCGACATCCGTGGGGTCCGTTACAACTAGCACATCAACGGTGTGATTGAGCGGCTCTCAAGCGAGCTTTGATACTCCTTTTAGAACACCAACTTCGTTGGGGCTGCCGCAGACGCTTCGAAGGATTCGGACATGACTGTCTGCTTGCCCGAGGACGTACGTTGTGAGAATCACAAAGCGATTAACATGGTGCTGCAAAGGACGTACTTCTCAGCCCATTGATTAACCTATCATCGCACGACGTTGACAACAAATGGGTGTTCTATCGCAATTTAACTTGATTAGTTTACGTGTCTCACGCATTTTCAACCTCCGCAAAAACACATCTTGCGAAACGGTGGAAGTACGTTTGCCTTGAGAAGCAAGAATTCCTTGTATTCCTATTCACTGACCGCGAGACGCGGGACGCTTCCGTCTTCTAAGCAAACGTTTGAGAGAAAGCTATGGGCAACTAATTTACACATTGCTGTCACTCAGCCCTCGCCTAGCGACTCATTTTAACTCACCAACTTCAAAAGACTTCTCTCTAAACCTCCAGAGTGACCATGTGCCAAGCTGAAGGTCACGTGAGCTTGCTGGAAGGGCGGGCGCTGTTCTGTACACCGTCCATTTTAGAAAATGTGCGCCTCGTTCTCTGCAAATCACACGAGCGGCACAGGAGTCAAGATAGCCGGAAGGGATTAAGAGCTGGTTAAAGAGCAACATTGAGCAACACTACGAAACTTTGTGTGGGGGTTTCGAGACGACTCTTGCGAAATTTCGACGACACCATTGCTCAGGTGCTCTCAGGCGAGCAAAGACTGCGGGGTCACCTCTTGGTTCTGATCATCACTTCTGTATCACATTCTCAAGATATTGGTGACCGATTAGTGACTGAAACAGCTCTTCATCTTCTTTGGAATCATTCTCAGCCCTTCAAAAATAAAGGGCTGTCAGCTTCACCGCCAGCAAGCTCTCCTAGCCGAAACAAAGGAAGCCTTTCTTGTTGGTCCCCTTTCAAATGCTACAGTGGTCCATTGCTGCGATTGAAGAATTCTGATTGAGCTCGTCACTGTTTGATGGGCAGTACAGTCCTGATCTAAGAAGATTCACCCAAACAACCCACATGATTGGCAGGAGGATCCGCTCCGATCTGGCTTATGGTTTTGCGACAATCGTAATTTGACTGCACCCACAGCGCAGCACCTGTCAGCCGCTTTGATCGAAGTGACTTCCAGAATAAATACTTCTATTGCGCTAGCGGAAGCTAATCATCAGGGGCATTGTTAGTCAACACCTGCAATGGGTCCAGAAGTTTCTGTGCTTTCCGTTTATATTAGACAGCACGAGAGTTTAGCTTCCATCAAAAAAGTGCAAATCTGCCCACTTTGAGGTCCTGACGAGCTTATGATTAGGCTGCCGGTCTCAGCTCGTCTTTCCAGTACTCACCACCCGTTTCATCATTTGGGCCATCAATCTTTGTGCTCCCAGCAGTGGGCACAAGCGGCAGTGCCCCCCGGCCCTTCTCCTGGCCAGTTCCTCAGAAGACCTCCCCGGGCTCAGCTCAGCGTTACTCTCCGCCACAACTTTCACCCGGGTTTCCATCCCCGACTCCACATTCCTCTGGGTCATGGTCCTCAAATCTATTAGAAAATGCCACCCATTGAAGGGTCCAATCTTCACTTCCTTCTCGACGTTCTCCAGCGCCTCTTGAATCTGGTGGGCTGTTTGTGGGTCGTACGCAATCCAGCGCTTGCCGTCCTGCCAGTAGACGCCGGCTGCTGTGGGCGCTGAGGGAGTGCACGCCATTTTGGGCCGACAGATTGATGTGGGAAAGTTCAGCTGCGATCAATCGTTCAGCCCTTGTGGAGAAGCGTTTCGAAAAATGAATGCGAGGATGTGAAGGCATCACGACCGAATGCAGGAATGGAGTAGGGATAGAATGCAGCGTCTAATTAAGCTGCGCATGCTTGGCCAGCTGGCCGAACGTCTGACTAGGCAAGCTGAGTTGCTTTTCCTTTGCAAATTCAAGTGGCACCCCTCCACATTGATCCAAGATGAGCTGAACTTTGAGTGAACTATGAATATGGCGACACTGCTCTAGCTCGGAGCAGTGGAGGACCGCCCCACTTCTATTCTCCTGCCAGTGGGGGAGTTCCAATAGCACTTCTATGATCTTGCCAACTCCCAAGCTCGGAATACACTGATTCATTTTGCTTCATTGGTGCGTGCTGCATAATCTTACAACGAGCAAGGCACAGCTGATGTCAACACCTCAGCGCAATACCGAACGAAGCAGCAGAGAAGCTCGCTTGCGCCTCAAGGTTGGAAAACCCGCTGATGTCGGATCAGAGGATCAGCTCAAAGCACTGGTCCAGTTATACAGTACTACTAGGACTAGACTTAGCTACTGATGGGATCATGGGAGAGCTGCATATGACGGGCCCGGTGTTGAACAAGAACCCACGTGGCAGGGAATCCCCCAGATCACGACCGCCGCCGTAGAACACCCGGCGTTGACACTGGTCAGCATTGGAGTCCTCAACATTGTATCGTAAACAAAATTGCGCCGAAAGCCCGGCGCGCCAACTTGGAAAACCGGCACTAGCAGTCTCTGCAAACCCTAGACAGCAGGAACAAGGCAAAGCCCTAAAGCGCGGAAACGTCGCCTGAGGCCCACGAGGGGACATGCAAGCCCGCATGGCGATCGTCTTGCGAGGATGGCGACTCAGCAAGAAGCGGCATGCTCGACATACGGAACCAGCTCTCTACCACATTAAGTGATGAAAGCAAAATGCGCGACGCCTGCCAGCTGCTGTAAATCAGAAGCTGCAGAGGAGGACCGTTCTACAATTTACTGAAATTCATTGTACGGCTTATCACGACCTTGAAATACGACCCGCCAAACCGTGCTGCCAGCCTGGACAAAGCCGCCATGCTCATTTTGAGGATCATCGTGCCCAATAAAATGCTCACGGCCGGCTCTGCCGAAAATCGAAATGGGATCCAAGATTTTCCGCATCATCCTGTCGCTCTGACATTGGAGACGGTTGCGTTTAAGAGGGGTTGGGGACATTGGGGCGCCACCGGAAGTGTCTGTTCAAAGCTAACCCTTGCCAGCTACCTGAAGCTGCCTGCTTCACAAAGGTCAATGCTTTCGTACCCGCAAGCTTTTCCTCCATCATCGCTGTGTTACCCCTCCTGGCGCCGTGCTAAGCTTTGTTTGCGTGCCGGAGTTGTACCGTGCATGCCCTGCATCAGCCTGCATGAAACCAGTGCTATACTCAGCGGCCGCGTATCCTACCCCAAAAAAGAAAGGGAAGTGAGGTCTTCGCCGAAGCGCTTGGTCTGCTGGCTTTGATAGGTGTGGCAGGCCAAGGATACGGCGCGGTGAGTAAGGAGCACCTCAAAACCGTACCAGGTCATCAATTGTCATGGGCGCAAAGACGTGAACGCAGCCGCCTTGAGGGGAGTCAGTCAGGGGCCTCAATCTGACGGATCAGAAGGTGGAAAGGAGGGCAGGATGCATCGAGGGATTTTTTCGCGGTGCAGGCCCCTCCCCCCAGCGCTCTTCCTCCTTGTCTCTCTAGCTTTCGCCGGCGCCCAAGTAGCGCTTCCTCAAGAAGCCAATGAACGGACGCTCCAAACGGACGCCCGAACGTCCCTTTTGAAGGACACCAGCAAAGCTCTGGTGTCCGTTTCGGACGCCCTTTTCCCCCTCTTCCCGACAGCGCCCTCTGTCGAACCATGCAACTCATCTCTGGCACAGATCGAGCAAGCTCTGCATGCTTATGGGCTTCCGCATGCTTATGGCGGCCGCCGCCGGCTTATCTCGGACGTCCTGCGCCAGGCGGAGTTCGGCAATCTGACCACAAACACGTCCGAAGCGCCCCCGCTGATCAGCGGGAGGTATTTCGTGGACGGAGTGTGGGGTTACATCATGGGCGTGATCTGGCTGATCCTGGGAGCGTTCTTTCTGTGCCTGTGGGGGTCCTGCAAGCTGGTGAGGGAACCCCCCTGTCTCACGACCAATGAAAGCTATGTCGGTCGGTTGATCCCATTTCAGATGGCTGGAAGGACAGTGCTTCAGGAAATGAGTTTAAACGCAAACTCGTGATTCAGCTTAGAAATGGATAAGAGCAGTCGAACCTTGAGGTAATCCACCTCGGACTAGAATTCCGTATACGTACCAGTAAGGTAGGTTTGCCAAGCTCTGCTGGCTTATGAGAACTTAAGATATGGTTCGGCAAAGGGTTAGGTACGTACATGTAACTGCATTCTGATGTTAACGCGATATACACCAGATTGTCTGTCAACCGATGCCTTCACTGCCCGCAATTCCTCTTACAAGTGTCCCAACGCTGCTTGACCCACCCAATGAGTTGCATCAAGCGTCGCGGAAAAAGGGCCTGATTTGCCATCTCGAGTATCTGATACAAGGGATCTAGAGGCTTCCTTGGAGCACAACCCGTGATCTTGCCGTTTGAGAAGTCGCTCAAGCGAAAAGACGTTTATGTTTAGGCTAGCCAGCAGCGGGACGTATCTACAGAAGCAGCTCTAAGCATACCTGATTGAATTGGTCAATTCCGTGCAATTAAGGTATTCGGTCAAGGTTCGGCTCTTGAAAGCCGAGAGTACTGACTTTGGATCATTTTCACTGTGTCAGCTCAAGAAGATGCCTAGGTGGATCAAGAACATGGTGCTAGGAAAGGAAGGTGAGGCGGCAAGACTTCCTGAGAAGGTGACCAACTTGCTGATTGTTTCTCACTCACGATTCAGCACCGGAGTAAGGCTCGCTTTCGACAGAGATATTACATAGCAGATTGGGTGTGCAGGCTCGATTCGAGGGGTTTGACCTTCAGTTCTTTTACTCCATCGATAACGGAAGATGCCGGTATCAGAGCTCTAGGATAGATAAGCGTTGTCTTTCCTTGCGTATCGTCAGCGCTCTCTCTTACACTCTTTGTGATCTCCGGACCAGAAGGCCGTGCCGATTGGCATCGTCTTCCTCGCCACCTGGCTTGAACTCAAACCACCAATTCCCACGCTGCTCCGTTCTAAACGGGTTTCGGTAACAAGCACCGCACAAGGCAAATGATCAGGCAGATTGCAAGATTAAGACCTCAGTCCCCGACGAAAAGGACACGCACTCAGAACAATATGGTGAAAAGAAGTTCGAAACTGTTGGAAACCGAGCGTAAACCTCTGAAAGTATGCTCTCGCAGAGCCCACGATCCCATCAACGCTCGCGCTGGCGATATTCAACGCGCTCACGTTTCTGGCGCTCTTCGCGGCCATCGTCGGAGTCGGCCTCGCGTACGGCGCTAACCCGAAAACGTTCACTGTAAGACCTCACTCGGACTAATCTGAAACGGAAGTTGAGAACCACTTTGTCTGAGTCAACGCTAGAGATTTTAAGTCGCAAAACCCTGTTGGAAAACTGAGGCAGAAAATCATAGGAATAGGGTACCTGGTTTGTTTGCGAGTCACTGTCTTTCCGGACCATCTTTGCTTGCACTCGAACTCACGAGAGCAGAACAGGAACAGACAAGGACTTTCGTAGCGTAATTTGCAAACATCAGTTCTGCCTTCTTCACAGGAGTTGTGAATTGATCCCGGTTTCTCCACTCGAGTGGCTTTGTATCCTGTCTGACGGTCTTCTTTTTTTTAACCCACTCTGGCAGACATATCACCAATTCGATCGCCGCGCACGACAACTCCTCGACAAGACCGCGAACGAGACGGCAAATGCAGCGAGCGCGTTCAACAACGCGAGCGCGGTCTTCGCCACGCTGCCGCCTCAGGCAAGGTTCCAATATTCGAGGAATGAACACTTCAGCATCTAGAATACTCGTTGTCGAGGATCAGAGGGTTGAAGTTTGGAGGTTTTGAAATCTGAGCTGCATTACTTCCAGCGGACTCAAAACAATTGTTGCGGCAGGGTCCGAGAACCTAACACTATAAGTCCTACAGTACTTGCAAAGAGTTTTTTTTTCTACTGCCCGACAGATGCGGTGCTTATGGGGTCTCTGGTCCATGCGCCGGTCGGTATCGACATATCACGGAGATGGCCCATTTTACAAGTGTTTCTTGTCTTTTGTAATAAATAGCGTCGAAGGCCCAAGCGCACAAAAGCACCACCTCGATGCTGAAAAAGTCGTCGACTGAGCTTCGATTCCGGTGCCGACAAGCGATCTGATAGACCCCTCTTCGAAGAATCATTTCAACTACGAATGTTCTAGAATAGCGTGAAAACAGCGTGTTATTTCCTATTCTGTCCTTGTAAGGAGCATTTCCTGGTTTCACGGTGTGCAGGTACTCGGGCGCGTCGGAGGGGAGGCTATTCCGGCGGCGCTGCGGAAGTGAGTCGCGCGATTGTCAGCTGGCACGCAAATATGCGAAGCGGTGACGGGTCCTTTCTGGATGACTGGAAGTCGGCATCGATCACAACGATTCTGTTAATCTTGCGCTTGACTCTGATTGCCGATGATTCCGGGAATGGGCCGATACAGAAGCTCAGATGAAGGATTAAGCACTACCTAAGAAGGATTCTTCTTTCAGGGGTAGGTTCGCTTCCTTAGATATTTCTGTCGTGGTAAACATGACTGTTTGACGTAACTGTCTGACGGTGCAGCGCTTCTTTGGCACTCGGATCAATCACCGGCGAAATACTAGGTACCGCCAAGCACGACCTGGATATCGTGAGTGTGACCTCACCCTTTGCAAACGATGTTTCGAACGGGCATCAGTCGGCTTTCTCACATTCTGAGTAATTAACGCCCTTGTTTGCGAGCTGCCGTTCTTTGGAGGTCTGATGGTTCTCCGTTGGTAACAGCGCGCATGCTCTGCGCTCTAAAATTGCGAAAGAAGAATAGAGAATTGCAAACGACTCAACGACAGCCGATCACACAATCTCCACTACCTCAACCATTGATCCCCCAGCCCGTTGTAACGAACTTTCCCACTCATAATATTCGCTCTTGGAGACCAGTCAATGTTCGAAGTGCGCCCTCGTCCGTCCTTTCGCTCTCTCAGCCTCGATCTGACCTATCTTCCTTTTCCGCTCACGTTCCGTTTCCGTCCCACGTCATGCCCGCGCGCGCAGATCTACGACCTGGTGCTCGCGCTCTACATCACGATCTACATCCTGATCTCGCTCATCCTGCTGACGCTGCTCGGTGAGGTCGTCGCGTTCGCGGCCGCGTCGCCGCGGCTCATGGGCGCGCTCATGATCGCGCACTGGCTGCTCACGGCGTGGCTGTGGATCTGGGTGGGCCTGGCGTTCGACGCGAGCCAGGTGTTCAAGGGGGAGTGCAGGATCCTCAAACGTGAGCAAAAGGCGATCAAGGTGGTATTTTCGAAGTGTTGGAATGCGAGATTCTGAGGGGCTTTCGCCGATTGCTGCTCCGGTCGGTAATTTCACCGGTGTCCAGCGGTCTCCTGAACTAGAGTAAAAGATTGTTGTTTTTTGGTGGCATCAAAGCGAAGGTCGAAAGAACAAAATCCTCTCGACCCTCAATTTAGGGACCTTTGGAGCTAGCAATAGAGTGCGACTTTGCGTTCGATCGAGCAGCTTGAAAGCACCAGGCGACGTGGTGGAAGCTGACGCCAGCAGTCAGTGAAACGCGCTTCCAGATCGGTCCCGTTAGGCAACGCCTGTATTCTTCACCATTCACGTTATAGCCAAGGCAGCTGACTGCGCGCTGCGCTCGCGCGGCCGCGCAGATTACCTGGAGGACCCGGCCAACACCAACAACGCGCTCGGCGCGCGCCTCCCGTGCGGGCGGCTGCAGTTGGCGCAGCAGCTGTTCCTGACCGGGGAGCAGGACGCCAGCAACGTGACCGCGCAGATCAACAACCAAGTGCTGCCCCTGGTGAGCCCCTCGGGAGAAGCAACCGGGGGAGCTTTTCCATCGTCGGAAATTTTGAGTCTTGAAGTTTTGAGTCTTGATCTGTTGCACTTTGCGAGTCAAGCACGGGGAAAACTGAAGAGGAAGGAAAGAACAGACTCAGACAGTTGTCAAATGAAGGAGTTACAGTAAGCTCCGATTCCGGTTCCGAAGGTCGGCGATTTGCACTTTAAAGGGACAGAACGTAATTCTTTCGGAGTGTTCCTGGTCAAGGCCACGCTGTCACGTACACACTGGTGTTTCGTTATGACTGTACTCCGTCGTTGCGCTTCAAGCCTCTCCGAATGGTGGGCTCTGCCGCGAGTTCGACAACTATTCCAAGAAAGACTTTCGGCCGTGTCTCATAGAGGTCTAACACAATTCACACATTCCGCGACTAACAAACCAAGAAAACCTTTGTCTTTGCATCTTGATGTCAAGCTTTGCTCTGAATGCAGGCACGCGCTTTGGCGGCGAACTCGAACGTGACGGCCGCGGTCCCCCCGCCGCTGTGCGACCCGTTCGCCAACGTGACCACCCCCCCGGGGTGCGTACCGGCCGACACCTTCATCCCCCAGGCTGTCGCCTTCTACCGGGAGCTGGCGGCCAAAAACCCGGGGATCGTGCAGATCATAGGGCTGAACCCGGATCAGGTCGAGCTGCTGGGAAACGCCACGCTGGGCGTGCTGCGCGTAAGAAAGACGCCCTGAATTGTGAACGCACCTGTTGCTTTGGCTCGTTTGGTCTTACAAAATGCAAGGTCTAAGACATCGACGCACGTCACTTTGCGTAGATGTATTGACAATTCCGAAGCTCTCGAGCGCGACGAGAACCGCCCATGAAGCACTCGCTGGCGGTCGATTTGATGCCAATCGTGTGCACCTGTTACAAAAAGAATTCCTACGGCTACACTGCGGCTATTGCAGTCTACGAGATCCACTCAACCGCGAGCAGCGTCTCCTGTCAGGATGGTTCTGGTACCCGAAAAAGTTGGTCTTCTCCTCTAGTCTTTCCTTATTGTCCCCCTCTATACGCGGAAAAGTGATCGCTATCCGTCGGCGTATCTCAAAAGAAACTCTCTTACCAAAACCACAGTCACTTCGCAAATTGCCGGCTGAACCAGGACGTTTTCGTGCTTCTCGCAGGTCATCCCCGACCTGCAAGACTTGCTGTTCTGCACGTCCATCTTCGCAACACTAAACGGCATCAGCCAGCACCAGTGCCACACGATCCGCTGGGCGAGCAACCTGCTGTGGTCGTCGCTCGTGGTCTGCGCCGCGGGCATGATGCCGCTCCAGCTGCTCGGCTGGTACTGGATCCGCTACATGGAGGCCGTCCGCAAGGAGGAAGGTGCGCGCGCGCAGGACGTCCGAAAAAGCGGCCGCCGCTAGTTGCTTCATTTGGGAGCAGATCTATGGTCATGAATCGGTTTCAAATTTGAATCTGGGAAGGCATTGAGACCTGGACGTACGCATGAGGTGCAGTTGCCAGTAACGAGTGTCCGTAGCACGAGTCTCGGCCACGTACCGTATATTCTTTTGCTGGTTAGACGGGGTGCCGAGCCATTCAGCAGTAAGTCCGACCGGGAGCTTGCGTCTCACTATACTCTCTCGAGAGGAGTCTTCCTCAGTGTCCCCCGTTAAATACTCTCTTTGAAGCGCATGACATCATCTCACTGCAACGTTGCATTTTATTCTGCCCAGAGATCCTGGCGAAGGCCCCTGTGGGAGCCTACAGAGCACCGGCAAGCTCCGTGGACGGAGGGTCCTAACTGGCAGCAACACGGGGGCCGTTTCATATAAACGTAGAGCATTCTGCACTGGCTTGATAAGTGTGGGGCGCGCAAGAGGAACTGTAATCCGGCTCGTCCGCGAAAAGGCCTGGGACCGGGCCGTGGCACTAATTCAGTGCGCGGAAGGTTGGGGTTCAGATTAGGTGTCGCCCTTTACGTCGTGACAGTTAGGTGGTCAGGAGGAGGACCTCAAACCCGCCAGCATATCAACGGCTTGTAGACATCTTTCCTGAGTACGGGCCTGAGCCACTATGTTGCATTACGTAGCTGTAACGCTTCGCATGGGGGCAGACTGTGCAAGAAAGTGACGACGAACGTCCCTTGAACGGATGCAAATGCTCAACCGCAGTGAGTCGGAGACCAAAGCCGGCCCCCGGGCTTGCGTGCTCAAACATCATCAACAGCTTCAGTCTCAGCTTGATACCAAAATATGCATGAACCGATTTACTTCAACTAGGTCCGGCCTCTCATGGTGTCATTTCGAATATGGGCGATATCTCAATTAGTAAGAATATCACGTCAATGAATACAAGTAAATGTATATACCTTCTAACTTAGGCATGCGCTTTTGGGATGCTCACAAATTTGATACCCGGCAGACTTCGCAATCGATCGAATAAGCTAATCAGGCTGGCTATATGTATCCGGCCAATGATTCCAGGTAGTACCGTCGCAACTTGACAATGTTCATGAACCTATTCGAAGCGTTCAGCCAATAACGGCAAGCATTTGGCATAGGTACTTCTGCATATAGTTGTACGGATGTACACCGCTAGTTCCTTGTACCTCTACATTGAATGTTTTATGTTTGCGTGTGTACAAGCTCTGGAGGCCGGCCATAGATGGTATAAAGCAACGCAGCGGGCATCATACATGAGGTGTCGCGTCGAGCTGTGGGCATTCGGATCGACAGATTTGAAGTCATATGGAAGTAACGATATACTGACTTGCGTACTTCCTACATCATATCCTGTGAGCATGACGCTAATCCAACCCTCGCGAAGGTTCTGGTGTCTGCACGTCGCAACTTCTCGAGGGGTTGTTAATCCTCGTACACTTCTGCAGCTTAGCAGGTCTTTACCTGGTCACTCCTCCTTCTGTTGTTACCGCGTAATTGGGGATTGTCCTGACCATGACCGGCTTGGCGTGGCAGTGGATCTTGTGCGTCCTCCAATGGAGTTTCTGATGCTCCCTTCTGCATGAGAGATTGGCGCTGCCAGCTGGTCTTGCAGAATCAATGACTATCAGCTACGGAAAGGAAGCAAGATAGAAAACTCTCCAATCACTGCTGTCAACTGTCCTCTGGGAGAAACGAAAATTCGGATCAAGTTTGCATCATATCCAGTGGAAAGACAATAACCTTCGATACTCAAGTATTGCAGCTACTGGACTATTGTAGTGTCCGAACATTGATTGCAATGTTATGCATCTTGCTGTGCTGCAAAGTGGTCGCCGTGCACCATTCACCATTAAGTACAACTAGTCAATCCACGATCGTAGTACAGCCCTTGAGCTCGTCAACTGCCGTCACCAGAACATAGTAATTCTTAGACGACACAACGTGTCATCAACAACAAAGTTCAAGAAGTTGGCAGCGAGAAATGCGCTTTTGCGCTGCCTGTGACTGGCCTTATACCCGCTTTTGAATAAGAGCCCCTTCTTCATTATGCCCCTGTGAATTCGCGGAAGCGTAGATTACAAATGTGGGAACATAAAAGAGAGAGATGATGTATAAATATTGCTTACCTGCAGTAGCGAGCTACTCCGCACTTGGCACACCTGCTGAAAGCCCCTGGGTGTGGCTCGGGTGCCTCTGTGCACAGGTTCCAGGAGCATACAGTCCTCATCGGTGGGGCATGAGTCACTGTGTACCTCTTCATGATTGTCCAGATCTCTTCTGGGAAATAGCTCCGAGACAGTGGCTCTGGGCAAGTAGGCAACCCAACATCTGGTAGCGGCTCCCTCAACAGTCTTGCTCTGATGTAAGCAAAAGGTCCGAACTCTGGTTGCACGGCGTTGATGACGAGCTTGTGAGCTTTGAGAGAGGACAGAGCATCGATCTGCCTCAACCTCTGCAAGGCAGCTTCGCTCTCCACCAGTCGAATGATTGCCACATTGCATCTGAATGCTGGACAACCTACCCGCTCAGATATCTGCTTCAGAGAAATGAGGTTTGAGATCTCGCGCCTGTGCGTGCTCTCATAGATTGCAGAGATGACCCGGAGCAATCCGCTGTCAATCGCCCATGTTTGGCTGTCTGTATAGAGTGCGAGCGATGCGACGATGCTGGATACAAGAAGTCTCAGCTCGCAAATATTTTCAGTATCACGAAGCCTTTTAGCAAGCTTCTTTGTAAAAACGCAAGCAAAGCCCTCAAAGATGTCTTCCAGATTTGAGAGGTGCTTCATAGTCTCCCTGCAAACCTTTGAGCTCTTCATAAAGTGGACAAAGCCGACCAGGCCCAAACGCAAGAAAAACTGCGTCAAGTCAGGGTTTGCTTTATGCTCTTGAGAAGAAAGCCTTCCGAGTCCTTGCCTGAAATTGAACGCAAACTCCTGAGCGAGCGTTTGAGCGGCTGCACAATCTCTGACTAGGCATTCCACCACAACTTTGCTGTCTGCCAGCCTGACAAGCGCCAAGCTGCTTGGGACCATAAGGGTTCTGTTGTCTGACACTGCATTGTTTTCTTCAGTATAGTTCTGCTCGGCATCGACAATTCCTTCAGAAACACTGCACTCGTCCATTATTTGAGCTGGCAGTGCCCCCCCATCTTCTTGAGAAGGACTTTGCTCGCTGTCGTCAAAGACCGCATACTCCCTGCTGCCTGGATGCCTTGGAGCTTCTGCAATCCTCCCAAATAGCACCTTCAAGCAGGCTCCTCCTTGGAATGCAGCCAGCTCTTGCGCTTTCCTGGCGAACTCTGGTTCTGCATCCTCCTCATGCGCGTCCTTCACCATTTTGTAACCCCTTAGGACTTCGCGGTTGTGATTAGACATCAAAAGAGAGGTGCACAGCTCTACAAAAGCGTTGCACGTGGAATCCGCCATTATTTGCTGTCTCTGCCTGCCCACCTTTGAGTTAGCGGGAAAAGTCTTCTCGACTATCTATGATGCATACGCCGAACTCACAGCGAAGTTGCTCAAGCGCTTCAAAGGTACCTACAAATCGTTCACAGCAGCTGTTGGCTTGCATCGCCGCCCGACCCCTCCTGCATTCCTTGCCCCTGAAATTTAGGACCTAAAGTCTGATGTCGCAATGAAGTTGAGCTGTTTTGCCACGAGCTCCACGGGAGCTCCACACAAAGTTTGCTCACTGCGGCCCCTTCACTGTCAGGTTTGCGGCTCGACACTTTTGCCATTGGCGCCAATTTTGAACTCGCTCTCCGCCAGGTTGAGTCCACGTGGCCCTTCAATTGAACACGCGCGGCGCGCGGGGGTTGAAATGGACTAGCGTCGGCGGAGATGCATCTCGTTGAAGAGGTTGGGACGTGTACACGCCGCGCGCGCATTGTCATCAACTCCGGCCCGGGTCTGCAGTCAGACTCAAACGCCTTTTGAAATTGTAGCAGCACTAGCATGTTCTGAGATGTCACGGGGTCGAGGAGCGCCTCGCCAGAGGGCTTCTAATCTAATAGTATTACATAGTGCATTGAGCTGATGAACATTGCATTCAGAAGGAGCGCAGAGCTCAGTGATCGCCTCATGGCCTACTAGCATCATGGGCGAGATCGCACGGAAGTGGTGGCTCATGAGCTGCTGCAAGATTGCGGCAGGTCGCACATGTACACGCGGCGCATTTAGCGAGTGGTATGCAGAGGTGTCTTGGATAGAAGACGTCTGAGCTCCATGCACTTGTCCTAGGAGATGAGCCAATTAAGCTTCCAAGCAGCTGTCAGTAGTTGCAACCATGGAGGGGTTGCGGCTGGAGGGCATAGAGGCGCACCGGCCTATGAGTGCGGACGCCCATGAAAATGGTCCAAAACCGGACAGGGTGTCCGGCTTTTTCAGCCCCCAGGTACCCTCTAGACGTTCATCTCAGTGGGCAGCTAACAATGGTAAAGTCAGCGGACGTGAGAATCAAAGCAGTGTAGTGAGCTCCTCCCCAAAAAGGAAGAGCTCAACCGCCTGGGAAGAGAGCCAAGTGCTCTCATCCGCTCCAATGAATCAGAACAGCGATACAATGAGCAACATTAGCTCTCCAAAATCTGGGATCGCGTCTCCGAAGAGGCTCAGCATGCAGAGGTCTCAGACAATGCGCGCCTCGAAAGAATCGAGCGCCTCTAAGCATCCCGAGCGATCAGACAGTGCCGCGCAGATGGCGCGGGAGCGGAGGGGAACTCTGGAGAGTTACAGTCCGCGTACGCAGATGGAGCTGATGGACCACCCCTTGGGGGAGCTCCTACTGCCGATTCTACCCCCCCAAGAGGGGGAAAACGGCCATGGCGGTTTGCCAGTCAGAACATCTAATGTGAAGCACTACTATGGGGTGGCGGCCAAACGGCGGTCATCTTACCAGGGGGGCGCGCCGGTAGCCCCGGTGCTGCCTGTCAAACATCCCCCCGCCCTGGCCCAGTTTCTGGAGAGCGGTGGTGCAAAGCCCAGTGAGATCCAAAGTGAGGAAGCCAATGCAGCTGCAAGTAATCAAAGGATTGCGGAGAAGATCGCAGAGCGGCGCCAATCATATGCTGGCATAGGCTTACGGGACCCAGGCAGCCCCAAGCGACAGGGCGGCCGGTTAAGCATGAAGGTTAGCTCTAACCAGCGGCGGGCAAGCGAGGCGCCCGGGGCAGACCCGTCCAGCTTTGCATTGAGAACTCCGTACCAATTGAAGCCGCGACGCGTCTGGATGCTAGAGGAGGCGTTTCGGTCGGTCCGAGAGGGGGCCGAAGCTCTGGCGTCGGAAGATTTCCCAACCGAGGGGGAGGCGCGGTGGCTGGGCGTGGGGGGAGCGGCGGAGTGGCGGCCGTGCATGGTGCTGGGGTATGACGTCAGCGAGCATAAGTACTGGGTACAGTGGCTGGCACCGCGACCCGGGGACAGCGATGCGTGTGCGCGCAGGTTCCAGGCTGCACGGATGAATGTGAGGATTGTCAACACTAGCGAGGGGGGGCACTTTTGGCAGAAGCCTAGAGAGGCAACCGGGGGGGTGGAGAGACGGCTGGGAAAGGTGGGTGATCTTGGTGAGAAGCGAGCAAGTCGTGGAGGTGCGCTGGGGCATCGAGATGGACGGGGGATGACGGCAATACTGGCGGAGCTGGCGGAGGAGTATGTTGGGCAGTCGCACCAGCTGGCGGTTTGGGAGCAAGAAGGAGAAGCAGAAAACGGTGAGGACTTCATTACCGGTTTGCCTTGACCAATGAATCATCCACAACACAAGGGCATGTTGTCAAAACGTTGACGAACGCGACAGTTCCTCTGACGAGATTACTTTGCCGCTAAATATGTCAAACAGTTGAACGTTCTGAGTTGGAAGAACGTTCATCTACCGTAAGTGCCCAGTATGTGTTTGAAAGTTTTGAAAGTTTATGAGTTTTCTGCTGTTCATTTTCACCTTCACACATGATCTCGAAACACGGCCATCTCAATTGTCACACCCGTTTTGAGACCTCGATTTTGGAAGCGACATTTTACATCTGCAGGGGACATCTCTGAGTCGGCCCCTACAGGGCCCCGCCCCATCCCAGTGCCCACCTACTCCTACGCCGACTTTCGCGCCGCCGTCTCCAACAGGGCCTTTCTCTGCCAGCCCGCCCTGCAGCCCATGCTCCTCGAAATGAGCCACCTCCTCGAGGCCCTGTCACGGGTAGAGTTGCTCGACAGCCGTCGGAGGGTATTGACACCAATGGAAGCGCGGGCCCACCAGAGCAAGGTGTTGAAAGACGGTGTGCGATACGTGCGGGAGCACTTGGTTGAGGAGATGGTGGATAGCCTGGCCCTCGGGCTGGGCCGCTGGACGATGAAGATGGAGCAAGCAATTGGGGACCAGCAGTCGGCAAAGGTTCTAAGGTGAGGATCTCCTTGATAACCTGCACGTGCATCCAGCTTTGGATAAACGGCTCCGCGCGTCTTGAACTGTCCGGCATCCTGCCCAGACAAGAAGCTACTGCGGGGACGATGTCTGCTGTCTGTCTGTCAAGAGGAGCGCGGTCGACTTGTCAAAGACCCCCGCCCTGCTTAGCCCCTCGTTCCTTTTCCAGATGCTCAGGCGCAGATTTCGTTCGACCAATCAGAATGGTCGGAGCCATCCACTTTTCGTGCCTGCTGCGCTCCTTCAAGGCATGTTCCACCGATGCACGATCTCAAAACGGAGGACAAACTCCTTTGTCAACTCTCATACAACTCCTACGGCACGTCCTTATTGCCAAGCCAACGTCGAAACATCTCCGAAACTTTTGAGCACCCCTGCCGTCTGCAGATGGGCGAATTTGAGATTGGAAGAGGCCCTCTGCGGCGCCCTCCAGGGGACGCTCCTCCGGTACACCGAGCTCTTCCAGCATCCGCGGGGGGATCCCCCGGGGGCCCCGGTGTTCGAGGTGGGCATGTCGATGCGGGGGGACGGCCAGCTGGAGCTACAGGCGCAAACCGGGGTGCTCGCCACCTTCTCCGGTCACCTGGTGAGCCAAACGGCCTTTGAGCTCTTCTTTGGGGAGTGGACTGGGAGATGGTCTCGGAACGTTGGCAGTCAAGCAGAACGGGTTTCTGGAGCCTTCAAGTCGACTTTCGTCCTTCGCGTGGTGTTTTTCAGATCGATGAAATGAGGAATGAGATGAGAGTTGAGAGATGAAAGATGAGAGAAGATTGCGTGTTTCTTTCCTGTTATCGCAGTAGATTAGTCATTGGTACTTTTACATGTACTATACCTGGAGATATGAAGGTGTCATATTCCTGAGAACATTCATGCCCCAGATTGTGCTGACGTGAGGTTAATGAAAGTCTGCTGTTCCGCTCGCAGCTCGATGACCTGGAGGAGACTCTTCGCAACACGCCCGCCTTCAGCCCGTCCGATGATCGTTACGTCCAGGTGGGGCCAGAGAGCGATCCACTTATGTAGATCAGTCTGTGTTCAAAATCTTTGGTGACGTGACTGGGGTGGATGAACATCAGAGTGGTCTCGCAAACGCATAAACTTGGAGAGGCCCTATGAATCCTGTAAGTTTCCATCATTGAGTCCGACTCGTGCTCCCTTGTCGTGTACGGGGAAAACGTACGGTTTCTTTTCAGTCCTCAAAGTCTCCAAGACTGTCTCACATACGCCTGCTCTTCATATCTCCTCCAAAGGTGCGCGTCCCGCACTGGTAACGCCCGCACCGGTTAACATGTCCATTTCGAGTGTTGCAAGATCGGACCAGCAACAGGCACGCAGATCTCGTAACCGTTCGCTTCTTACCGTCCACTTCAGAAAGGGCCCAAGCTGCCCCGCCCCACGCTGGCCCGCACCGCAGCGTCCGCAATCCTCCGGACGCGCTCAGCCGTCCGCACGACCATCGACGCCGCGTCCGAGCTCCTCCGGACCGCCGCTGACCAGCTCGCACAAGAGTGGGCGTCCAAGCTGCCGGGTCACGTGGCAGCCTTCTCCGACGGCCACGCGGCAGCTTCTGGAGACGGCGAGAACGCCACCGACAGCTCGCTGGAGAAAGTCGAGAGCCTGAAAGCGTACCTGGAGAGACTGGGAGAGGTTGAGAAAGCGGTTTTGGGATACCACGGCCGGGCCTTCGGCGAGGTGTTCGTTCTAAACTGCCGCCAGCCGCTGCACTGGCTGGCGGCCGAGCGGGCGGAGCGGCGGGAGGCCCTGTCTCGGGAGCTGTTTGAAACTCTACACGACTGCGTACGGCTGGTGCAGTCGCAGCTCGACCGGAACGAGGCCCTCCTGCGGACGGACCTGGATGACGTCACCCCCGAGGAGCTGTCGGAACTGGAGCGGTTCACCGGGCGCTACGACGGGACGCACGCGGGATTGCTCGCGAGCCTGCGCGAGGGCCGGGAGGCGCTGGACGCGCTCGAGAACCTGCGCGCGCCGCTGAGTCAGCATGACGTCAGCGCGCTGTGGGAGGCCGCGCGCGAGGCCGTCGCGCACGCGGAGCGGGTGTCGGACGTCCGCGGAAGGCTATGGATCGTCAAACCCGGGGTTATCGCCGGGATTAGGCGCCGGCAGGCGGAGTTACTGGAGGCGGTCAAGGAAAGAGTCGCGGCCGCCGCAGGGTTTGAGGGCTTGGAGGATCTCGAAGCCGCGGGCGAGTACCAGGCGCAAATGGCGGCGACTTTGCGCGAGCTCTTAGAGCATCTAGAGGCGGCGAGAAAGCTGCAGGTGCAGGAAACGCTGCTGGGCATCGACCAGCTGCCCGACTGTCTGGAGCTGCTGACCCCGGCCGTCCGAAAGGTCCGATTCTGTGCGAACGTCTGGGCGCTTGCGTCCGAATATCTGGCGGTCCAGAGGGCGCACGAGGAGGCGCCGTTCAAGCAGATGAACGTCGGCCGGGCGCACCTGCGGGTCGCCGAGCTCGCGGACAAGATCGACGAGCTTGGGGGATCCCCCGGCGCGCGCGAGCTGGGGGGATCCCCCGCGGGCGGGGTTCTGCGGTTCCTGGAGGCGCAGGTACGCGACATTCTGCGCGAGCTGCCGGTGCTCGCGAAGCTGCGCCACCCGGGCGTGCGGCAGCGGCACTGGGAGGAACTTGGACCGGTACTCGGCGCCCGGTTCTTAGAAACCGGGCGGGACGACCCGACGCTCGCGGCGGTGCTCGCGCTGCGGCTGTCGGAGCGCCGGGATGACGTCAGCCCGGTGCTGGAGCGCGCGATCCAGGAGTACGCGCAGGAGGTGTGCCTGGAGAAGATGGAGGAGGAGCTGCGGCGAGCGGCGGTCGAGGTCGCGCAGGGTGTGGAGCTGCGGGGTTTAGGCGACATCGAGGCGCTGCTGGGCGAGCAATTGGTCGCCATCAACTCCCTGCTGAGCAGCCCGTTCGCGAAGGCGTTCGAGGGGATGGCGCGCACGTGGCGCGAGCGGCTGGGGCATCTGCGCGCGTGCCTGGGGGAGCTGGTGCGCGCGCAGGAGGCGTTCCAAAAGCTGGAGCCGGTGTTCAGGTGAGAACCGGGCGGTATCTGTGCCCTTCATTGTAGGGGTGAGCGTCTGAAGCAGCGTCGCTTGATGGAGTGTTACCTTGCCGAAGCGAAATTGGAAAGATTCAGAGACAGACTCAGGAACGAATTTTGATGGATTGTTTTACAGAGAGAATCATCTTTGCGTGATGAAGAATGGAGCTCACTTTCGGATTTGCCCCTAGAAACAAAAAGTTTTTACTCGGTCAAATCAAACGTGTCTCGGGGTGAGAGGGACAATTTGATGAGCTTCGGTCGAAATAGATGTTGAGGCATAAAGACATAGTTAAAATAGTGGTGAAAGTTTCTGGTCACGAAGAGATGGCCACATTTCGTCGAAGAATCTGGTTCTTCTCTGTGTGGTCTTTGGATAATCGATTTGTGCGACGGATTGCTCAAGGCGTTGAGTCGTACGCTTGTCTCTTTCTCCTCCGTCTCCTCCTTTACCGCACTCGTCTCCCAGAACATTGTCCATCTTCTTGCTTGTGTCTTATTGGAGGTTTTACGTCGCGTCTTTGCTCGAACAACGCCCCGAAACTCGCCCACTTTATTTTCAGTTTCTGTGCTCTTTCATACCTTCTGGGGCCAGCATGATTAAGCACATGCCTCTGATCCCCTCCGATTCCGTTCCAGGTCCCCTCACCTCCAGCAGCTCCTCCCCTCCGAGCACCGCCAGTTCCAATCCGTGGCTGCCACGTGGCAGGCCGTCCTGGCCCTGGCCTCCCAGCGCCGCTTCTTCCTCTTTCTCTGCGAGAGCACGCTCGTCACCAAAGACATTCCGGCCTGCAACCTCGCCATGGCGGACTTCCGCTCGAAGCTGACGTCAGCTCTGGACGGAAAGCGCGCCCGCTTCCCGCGGCTGCACTTCTTGACCGACGACGAGCTGGTCACGTTCGCCAGCCTGGAGCTTAACCCGACCGTTGACCCGGGCCAAACCCTGATCTGCAAGTGCTTCCAGAGCCTGTCCTCTGTTGAGTTTAGCCAAGACCGGAAGATTGTGGCAGTTACCGGGCTCGATGGGGAGAGGGTTACGCTAACCCAGGTGGTGGGCACCAAAGACGAACCGTTGGAGAAATGGCTCGCCGCTCTAGATACGGAGATCCGAACTACCCTGAAAGCGGGGCTGGCAAAAGCAGTGGAGTATTTGGAAAGCGGAAGAGGGGCCTCATTGTCACATTTCTGCAGCATGAAGAAGGAGGACGGGATTAGTTCGACCAGTCGGAGAAGCGAACCGGGCGGTTTTGAGGAGGGGGTACCGGGTAATCTGCCGTCCCAGAGCGTGGGTTTGGCGCTACAAGTGAGCTTTACACGGCAGGTGGAAAAGGTTCTGAGCAGAGACGAAAGCGCAGACCTGAAACGTCGGGGCCTGCACTCAGAGCTGGAAAGGATGCAGGAACAAGTTGAGGATCTGCGGGCCGCTGTGGCGAAGGGACTGGGCGGGTTAGCGCGGGTTAAGGCCAAACGGCTGATCCGTTTGGGCGCCCGGTTGAGCAGGACTTTGCGACAGCTCATCGAGTGCCCGGGGAAAGATCTTCACCAGGATAGGTTTGCCTGGCAGAAGCACCTTCGGTTCTACTTTGACCCGGCTGCCCCCCGGGGTGCAGCTTGCCGGCTAGAAATGGCCGGGGCGAAACTCAGCTACGGGTTTGAGTTCATTGGGCGACAGGAAAGGGGCATCGTGACGTCAGACATGGAGCGGTGCTTTGCGGGGCTCCTGGGCGCGGTCGCAAGCGGCGGCTGCGCTCTGGTGACCGGAACTCCGGGGGCCGGAAGGGCGGAAGTGGTGCGGGCTCTCGCGGCCGCGGCGGGTAAAACCTGCCTCTTCGCGAGTTGCTCCGAGGGGATGTCGGGAGACCGGTTGAGCGGAGTGATGCGCGCGAGCATCGCGAGCGGCACGTGGTTCTGTTTGCGTGACGTTGGCGCGGTGGGCGCTGACGTGGCACAGAGCCTGAGCCAGCAGCTGGCGTCAGTAAAGCAGGCGCTGACATCATCGGGAGGGAGGGTCCAGCTGGCAGGCAGCAGCGTGCAGGTCGATCGGACGGCCGCTGTATTCTGCACAGCCCAGATCGACGGCCCTCAGCCGTCGGATCGACTTGCGGCGGCCTGCCGCGCGACGGCGCTCGGGGACGGCGCGACGGTTGCTGACGTGGCAGGTGGGCTGATGCACGCGGAAGGGTTTGAGAACTGGGAGAATTTGGGTCGGAAGCTCGCGACCGCGCTCCAGTTCGCGTCGCAGCAACTAGGGGCGCGGCACTTCGCCGCGGGGCTCCCGGCGGCGCACGCGCTGGTCGAGCGCGCGGTGCGCGCGCGAGCGGAGATGACGTCAGCAGGGTTTGGAAACGTGAGCGAGGAGGCGCTGCTGGCGGGCGTGGTGGAGAGGGGCATCGCGCCCGGCTTGCTCGGGGACGAGCTGACGTCATTCCAGCGGCTGCTGACGAATGTGTTCCCCGGCGGAGGCCGGCCGGTGGACACGAACGGCCGGCTGAAAGAGGCGGTTAGGGAAGCGGTTAGGGAGCGGGGTTTAAGCGAGGTTTCGGGGACGGTTCAAAAGTGTGTGCAGCTGCAGGAGTGTATGGCGCTGGAATGTTTGGGAACGGTCGTCTGTGGAGAGGCGGGGGCGGGAAAGACGGAGCTGATTGCTTTACTGGCGCGAGCAAGTGAAAAGCTGACGGGAACTAGAGTGACGATCGAAACCGTGGCGCTTGCTGGGGCGAGCGCGGAGCAGATTGCTGCCAGGTGCGACGACATCTTGGGCCGTCAGGATGGCGACACGTGGGTGGTGTTCGACGGTGCGATGGGCGCCGACCAGGCTGTTATCATCACCGGGCGCTTCGACCAGGACTCGCGCCTGTTTGCACTCTCCCGGGAAAAAGGCCACCGATTGAAAGTCATTTTCGAAGTCGATTCTCCAGAGGGAATACCGTCAGCGCTGCAGGGCCGGTGCGCGTTGGTCCACGTCAGCAGGGGAGAAGCAGTCGACTGGAACGCCCTTGTAAAAGCATGGGTGGAGCGAAGTTTGCCCCCAAGCTGGGCGGAAGAAGCGGCGCTTTTCAAACTCGTGTGTGAAAAGGCGCTCCCGGCTTGTCTCGAGCTAGCCATGACCGGGGCGCCTGCCAATTTGGAGCTTATTCCAACCGGGCTGGTGCAGAGCTTCTTGTCTCTGGTGGGGTTCACACTTGCGTCTTTCTATTCCGCCAACCCGTCGCAACGGCCGAAGAGCGGAAGAGAGGAAGGGCCGGAAGCGGATCAGGGCAAGGGCAGGCGGCGGCTCATCTCCTATGGGCGGAAGCAGGCACGTGACATGGTGAGCTGGCGGAGGCTGCATCTGCATAAGGAGGGGGAGGGAAGTCTGGACAAAAGAGAAAGCGCTGTTGCGGCGTTAAAGTCCAGACTTGATGACGTCAAGCCCTCGGAGCGGGCTCAAATGCTGACGACAGCCGCCGTTTTCGCGGCCGTCAACTCTCTCGGGCTCGCGATCGCGGGAGCGACGGAGCGCGCCGCGCTCGAGCACGTCATCCGTGACGTCATCCGCGACGTGGGTCCGAAAGAAGCACCCCCCCTGCCGGAGGAAAGCCTGTTCGAAGTCGGGTACAGCTGGCAGTTCCGGGCGTGGCGGCACTGGCCGGAGCTGCGGACGGAAAGCGCGGCCGCGGACGGAAAGGCGTCCGGAGCTCCGTCCGGCGACGTCAGGTTTTTCGTGCCCGTCCCAGAGACGGCGCGTAACGAGGTGTTGGCGAAAATGGTGCTCCGCGGGGGGGGCAGAGTGGCGCTGTTCGGACCCCCCGGGTCCGGGAAGAAGTCGCTGATAGGTCACGTGATGCGGACGGCGGCTAAGGAAGAGAGCGCGCGAGAAACTAGAGGGGGGAAGCCAGGTGGAGTCGGACAGAATCCTCAGGGAAGCAACGACTCTGCTTCTGGGCGCTCGGTTGTAACAATCGACAGTGAAGGAAGTGAGAAGCCAACAGCACGGCTTCTGCGGAATTACAGTCTTCTGCCGACGGTTCCGTACAGCTTCGACAGTCTGGTGGCCATCTTCGCGGAGCAGCTGGCGGCGGCCTGGCCGGAACGAGCGGCCGGAATGGGCGGAACGAACGAGCCCGGCCGGAGCACGCCGGGCTTGCCGGACTCCCTCGTCCTGCGCCTGAGCCGCGCATCGACCCAACTCCACAAAACCCTCCTCCAAACCCTGCCAAACCCTCGGGAAGGTCTCGGACTCGGTACCCGCGACTTGCTTAGCCTCCTGGACGCTTTGGTTACGAATTCGGACGCCCTAAAACCGATTCCGGACGCTCTGCAGTCGGACGCGGACGCGCCAACGGCCGGGATGGACGCGGGTACGGACGCCGACGCCGTCAAGCTGTGGGCGCACGAGGTCCGCAGGGTGTACGGCGACCGTCTGACCGGTGCGGCCGCGGTCGAGAGCGCGCTCGCGGCCGCGACTGCGGCGCACCTGCGCGAGTGGGCGCCGCTCACAGTGCAGCCCTTCATGTTCGGGCAGTACACGCGTCACTCCGACGCGAACGGTGACGTCAGGGTGCGGGTCGTTTACAAGGAGGTTATGGACAAATCGGGGTGGGTTTTGGGGATGGAGGGCCAGTTAGCCGCCCACAACATGGAGAATAGCGATCCGCTCCCGATCGTTCTCTTCCCGGAAGCGGCGGAACACTTGTCCCGGTTGCTGAGGGCGCTTAGAGGTTCCGGCTCCCAGGCACTGCTGATAGGGCCCCCGAGAAGCGGGAAGAGGTCCCTGCTGCGGCTGGCGGCCTTCGTTCTGGGCTTCGACCGGTTTGAGGTCGGCGAGAAGAACGGAGAAGTGCCCGGGGAATGGAGGGAGGAAATGGGGAAGGCGGTGGAGAGGGCGGCGTTGGGTGACCGGGGCGTGGTGCTCGGGGTGAAGGCGGGGCAGCCGGGCCTGATGGATGACGTGGCGCAACTGCGGAGGGGGCTTGAGGTGCGCTTCTGATGTCATGTTTTTTGCAAATTTTGTTGGTTGATAAGTTGTTGGAGGCAGCTATCTTTGCACTGGTTGAAAAAAGCTGTTGGCGGCACTTGCATTACCACATCAATTCTTCTGCAGGATCAGGACCATTCTCGCAACCAACGAAACGAGGCCGACCCTTTTTGCTGTCTCGAAAAGGCTAAATATCAATCTATTTAAAAAGCTTAAGCTCACCGAAAGTGTCCGTACTCGAGATCCTTGACTTCAGTTGGTGATTTTCTACTATAGCTGCCTGTCCTTATTGCTCCAAATCCTGCTGATATCCAACCTGCCGACCTCCTTATAAGAAGCTGTATAAAAATTTGGCACGCCTAATCGATGCCCAAACACGTAATAAGGTACCATCAAACAGAAGAGTAAATAGAAGAAACCTTTGGATCTCTGTTCTTTCCAACTTGCGAATCAAAGGCTTTCCTCACCCGTTACTCATTCGTCTCCTTTCTTCAGGTGCTTTCTCTCCTGTCCCCCGAACGCCGCTACTTCATCCAGCAAGAACAGCAGCGCCTGGAAGAGTCCTCCAGCACCTCTCTAGTTTCCCTCATCGACAGCGCGCAAGAGCGCGAGGCCTACTTCAACGCGCGCCTCGTCGAGCGCGTCAACGCCAACCTCCGGATCGCCGTCCGCGCGGCCGCGCGCTCCCCCGCGCTCGCGCACATCCTGACGGAGTGCCGCCCCTTCGCGGACGCGTGCTCGGTCGACCGCTTCGACGCCTTCTCGGACGCCGCCCTGGCCTCGATCGCACGCGCGCACTTCGACAAGCACGAGGAGCTGCAGCGCTTCGTCGAGTTCGCGGCCGTCGAGCGGGGCGCGCTCGCAACCGCGGCCGCGGCGGTACACGCGCGAGCGCGCGGGCCGGGCGTCGCGAGCTACCAGGAGCTGCTGCGCGCGTTCAGCGCGCTGTTACTCGACCGCGGGGGCGCGTTCTGGGCAACACTCCAGCGGCTGACCGTCGGCGCTGCGAAATTACGGTCGACCGCGCGTTTGGTCGCCGAGATGCAAAGCGATTTAGAGGCGCTGCTGGGGCGGCGGGACTCGACCGAGGAAGAGATGGAGCGCCTCATCGGCTCGATCGCGCGAGAGCAGGACGCGCTCGACGCGAGCCGCGCGGCGCTGCAGGTCGAGCAGGAGAAGGCGGAGCGCGAGAGCGCGGCCGCGGCGCGCGCGGCGGCGGACGCGCAGCAGGACGTCGACTCCGTCGTTCCGCTGGTCAGCCAGGCAATTAAGGAGCTGAGCAGCCTCAACAAGAAGGACATCGCCGAGATGAAAAGTTTGGCGAAGCCCCCGCCTCGTCTGATGATCGTTCTAGAAGCGCTGTGTATTCTGCTCGGAAGGGCGCCCAAGAGGCCACGTGTCAGCCAGCCGGGGCGCGGCGCGCCGGAGGCCGGGGAAGGGTACTGGCCCGTGGCGCGCGAGCTGCTCGCGCAGGTCAACTTCGTGCAGATGCTGCTGAGCTTCGACAAGGACGAGATGGATGCGGACACGGTCCGGCGGTGAGTTGATTGAGAGTCTCTGCGTAAAAAGGTCTCTTTCTGAAAGGAAAAGGTACAAAAATCATTTTTTGAGAGTACAAAAGTTCAGGATGAAGAAGGATTTCTGTGGTAAGACCTTTGAGTAAGAGGTTCGACGCAAAGGGTTTTTGAGTAAGAGCAGGTTTAGTACGCAGTTTCTGACTAGGAATTTTCCTAGCAACAGATTCGGAGTCTTTGCGTCGATGCTCTTTCAGAAGTAAGCAACTCAGCATTTCGTCTCACTCCGCACCAGAAGCGCCTCTAAAGTTCTGAAAGTACCGAATGCGCGCCGAGACATGTCTTTAGGTATCAAGCATGGCAGAACAGTTGTCGAATCTTGAAGCACTTTCCTTGCAGATTGCGGCCATACATCGAGAACCCGGACTTTGCCCCGGACCACGTGGGCCGCATCAGCGTGGCGTGCAAGAGCATCTGCATCTGGGTGCGCGCCATGTACAGCTACCACGTGGCCAAGGTCACCAAGATGGCGCCACGTGTCGAGCGGCTGCGCGAGGTGACGTCCGACCTCGAGAACGCGCGGGCCGCGCTCGAGCGGCGCAAGGTCGAGCTCAGCGAGATGGAGGAGAAGATCTCGCACTTGAGAAGCCGATACGAAAACGCGCGAGGCGCGAAAAACAGTCTGGTACAACAAGCGGAAGAGTCGGAGGTCAAAGTGGAGCGCGCGCAGCGGCTGATCGGGCGGCTCGAGGGGGAGTGCGCGCGCTGGGAGAAGTGCGCGGGGGAGCTGCGCGAGAAGTGGCGCGGGGTCGTCGGCGACGCGCTGCTCGCGGCGGGACACGTGGCGTACCTGGGGCGCGTCCCCCGGAAGCTTAGAGAGTCGCAGATCGCGGAGTGGCAGGAGGCGCTCCGGAATATCCGCTTGCCGTTCTCGCAGGGTTTCTCGCTCTTAGGTTTCTGTGTGGACCAGCAGACGGTTCAGGAGTGGGTTGCGGCGGGCTTGCCGAACGACCGTCAGTCTCTGGAGAACGCGGTTATGGTTAAGTACGCGCAGCGGTGGGTCAAGGTCGCTGACCCGCAGAACCAGGCGGCCGCGTGGCTGGGGCGGCGGGACAACGGACGGAGTCCGGCGTGGTTGGCAGCGGAATCCGCGGAGCTGGCCGCGGCTTTGGAGGAGGCCTTGCAAAAGGGGCGGGGCGTAGTCGTGAGTGTGGAGAAAACGGGGGACAGCGAGCTGCTACGGTCGATTGTGCGCTCGAACGGGGCCTCTCAGGAAGAGGGGGAAAGTGGGTTGTGCGTCATGCACGTGAAGAATGAGAAAATGGCCGCGCAATGCCTGAGGGAGGTGAGATATGACGGCTTGCGTTTCTTGTTGATAATTTGCGTGAAGTCAGAAAGACTTTTCTGTGTGCCTTTGTAATGCTGGTGAAATCGGCCTGTTGTGCGACTTCGACAAATCTGCGTCGAGAAACTCGGACCTCGCTTAAGCAATGTAAGGCCCAGGGAGAATTTCAGCAGCATAGTCCGGCAGGCTCCGAGGAAAAGTTGAAGACTACTGGAGATGCAAATGGCTGTCCAGGACATTGAGACGGCCAAAGTTACTCGGACATCTACTTAGAGCAACCACTTGAATCAGTTCAGCCCACACCGCGAGTTCATACATCTATTGCTTTCTTGGCAGGACAACATGGACGCCAATTGCGTCGACTTCTCCATAACGAACGACGGCGTCTACAGCCAGCTTCTGGCCCTCGGTGAGTTCCTGCCCTTGAACTTTTGAAACGGCTGCCGTGCTGCAGTGAAGAACCGCTTCACTCCCCTCGTTTGCAAACGTGTGAGAGCGCCTGACGAGGCGGCCTATCAATCTCGTCTCCAGGTTAAATGTCTCGTCTCTCACCAGCTGACCCCATGCCGTTCACTGGTTTCAAAGTTCGTGTCCAAAAGCACTAAAATCTCTCGGCCGCAACCGATGGACGAGACTTGCCCTTTTGCGTCCCCACATATGTCCGGTATCTGCCTTTCTGCGCGCCTGCCATCCGACCTTTCCGAGCTGGCCCTAAACCTTTTCTCCCTTTACCCCTTCAGCCTCCTCATTCTTAGCCCCTCGATTTTATTCCCCTTTATTTCCAAGTCTTCTTACTCCTAACCCTAAATGTCCAAACCCGCAGTGGTGGAGAAGGAGCGGCCCGACCTGGAGGAGCAGCGGCGCGGGCTGGTGCAGTCGCACGCGGCGCTGGAGCGGCAGCTGGCGGCCGCGGAGGAGCGGCTGCTGGCCCTGGTGTCCGGCGCGTCCGGAACCATCCTGGACGACGCCGCGCTCGAGGACGCGCTCACGGCAGCGTCCGGGACGTACGAAAACATCCAGGTGAGCGGACTGCTGTCTTTTGGAAAAATCCGCGGAAGGAGAAGTGCAGGAGTCGACATTCTTATGACGAAGTTGTCTACAAGTCCATAGGGGAGGAGTCGGGCACGTACGTTCTTTTCTAGTCGCACGTGCGGGGCGTCGGTGCTTTTCTTCCTCATGTGGACGGCACCATTTCGAGAATAAATAGGACGAAAGGAGAATCTTATGTCATGTTGTTCGTCTGCAGCTGTAAATTCCGTCCTAAATTTTCCTTCACCGAGGCCGCCGTTCTAATCAACGCTTTCTTTTGAGTCAACCAGATGCTTTATGAATATTCTATGACCGCTTTCTTTCCTAGTTTGCTCTTGATTTCGAATTCAGAGCTGGAACAACGGTACTGCGCGCGCGCTTATTTTATGGGTTCCCCCCTCCGCAGGGCCGCATTTCCCGGGTGGCGGCCAACGAGGGCGAGCTGGAGGCGACGCGCGACCGGTACCGGCCCGTCGCGGAGCGCGGCACGCTGCTGTTTGCCACCATTAGGGACCTCGCTAAGGTGCGCTCGTTCTCCGTCCTGCCCAAATTTTCCTTCAACGGAACGCTTCCAAGACTACCTTCTCAGTCTCTACGGGAGCTGCGACGAACAGCAGGGTCAAAGTCCCGACGTCTCTTCTTATCTGCTCTTGTTTTCCGGCGCAGGTAAGGTCCAGCTTATCTGTGGGCGAAGAAATTCACTGATTTCTTGCGTCCCGCTTTTGGGACGCCAGCTGCAAACCGAGCCGACGAATAGCTGACCCTTTTGCAGCGAAAAGAGTCCACCTTAAGTTCCCTTTATGAAGATTCGCTTCTCCTTGCATTCCCCATTTTAGATCACCAGCTGATCAGCTAAACTGACGGATAGTTATCCCTTTTTAAGAGAGCCCATCTCACAGCTTAAGTTCATCAAACCCAATTTTGACTCGCCTTCAGCTTTTCATGGGCAGCTGATGAGCTCAAACCCACGAAACATACGCCATTTTCATCTCCAGTGCGGCCCCCTATACGGCCGCCGGTTGGGCTGGTTCAAGCAGCTGTACGCGCGCGGCATGCAACGGACGTCCGCGCTGAGCCCGGTGGAGGTGTCCGAGCGGCTGACCTACCTCACGCGCCAGATGACGTCAGTCGTCTTCTGCACCGTGGCCGGCACGCTGTTCGCGGAGCACCGGGCGCTCTTCGCCCTCGTCCTGACCGCCAGGTGAGAGTTTCGGACGCGTTCGGACGTGTAAAGGATGAAAAGCCGCCAAGGCTTGCCTGATTGCGAACATATGAAGCGGATGAGTACTTGTCTCCTTGCAACCATATCAGACGGTTAACCGGGAGGTCTTATGAGCTTCCTTGTAGTTTCTTCCTACTTATGGGGAGTAGACTACGCACACCGTTGGATCGTTCACAAAGCTGACAGAATCTTCTGTTGGCAGCCTGAAGTCCAAACAATCGACCATATATCCGACGTATCTTTGTCAGGATCCTGGAAGCTCGGGGCGACCTCTCTGCGGAAGAATGGGGCGCGTTCGTCGCCGGCCCGGGCCAAAGTACCCTGGTGGACCAGCCGCCTTTGTTTTTAGCCGACAAGCAGGAGAAGTGGTCGGCGCTTCTGGATCTGGAGAGTCGCCTCGACTGGTGAGAACACTTACATCGCAATTGACAGGAAGGAAGTACCCACTTGATTTTGGCACGAAGACTGCCTGATCTTATACTTCCATTGGTATCACAGCCTCCATTTCTTCCCACACCTTGCAACGACCTATTGGGCGGCCGCCTCGCTGATTGGTCCTTTGAATTGGACCCGTAACGGTGACGAAACAAAGGGCCATTCCCCAGAGCTTTACTCCCCTTACTTAATTTCCCGAAAACTTTGTATCTGAAGCCGCGCTTTCTCCGCCGCCGCCTCCTGCAGTTTCTCGGGGTTGTCCACCGACGTGCGCCGCAACGCCCCCGCGTGGCAGGCGTTGTTCGAACGTGAGGGCGCCCCGGACGCCCAGCTCCCGGACCCCTGGGCGTCCGAATCGAGCCTCTTCCAGAAGCTGGTCCTCACCCGGTTCCTGTGGCCCGACCAGGTAAGGCCCAGTTTAAACACTGTAACTATCTGAAACGATCTCAAGCATCAAACCAAGTAATGAGACAATGGATAATCCATGCTTTCTTGCGAACAATCGCATGTCTCGTCGGAGGCAACCCATTCCGGTCGGAGTCAGCTGAGTAGGAGGTTGAGAGCAGAGAAGGAAAGAATCAAACAAGCTCTGCCCCCGCTTAAACGGTTGATTCTACGGACTGGAGGAGAGACTCCTCTCCACTTCTCTGTAGCTGTTGCTGCGAACTTAAGCCAGTCAGGTTATTCCTGCAGGAAGGCGTCAGAATCTGTCCTCGTTGCAGAGAATTGTCCTGTGTCATTACCACGCTTCGCAGTCGGGTAACGCCACCGGGGTACTATGAACTAGGTATTGTACTCATCCTCTGGGTTTCAGTGCCCAATTGCACGGCTAGTGCTCCTGCAGAATTCGCAATTTGACGAGTCGTACCTTTTTGACTCGCAGGTCGTTTCCGCGGCGGAGCGGTGCGCGTACGCCGTCCTCGAGATCGACGCCGCCGCGGCCGCGGCGCGGCCGACGGTAGCCGCGGCCGCGGAGCAGGCCGACCGGCTGACGCCCATCCTGTGCGCGTGCGCGCCGGGCGCGGATCCGCTCGTGGAGGTAAGCCGGAGTTATACTTTCCGTCCACCCTTTGTCGAAAGGACTTTTGACTATGAGTCGAAAATATGATATGATTTTTGTGCAGAGAGAAACATTTGAACAGAGCTACTGATTGGAAGGATTCTGCTACAAACAAGCGTCACGAAAAGGTGGACATGTTTGGTGTTTGGTGGAAGTTAAGGAAGCCGTCCCGTTTGAGAGTCTTGCAGTCGATAGGTGTCTCGATGCTGGATGCACGGTCAAGCTCGTTATACATTCTTTTGTACAGCCGGACTTTTAGACTACAGGGAATCCTTTGCAGCCCCGTTGAATCTCAAGACACCGTTGTGCAGATCTCGGAGTTCGCGCGCAAGAAGAGCATGAGCAAGCGCATGTGGGCGGTGTCGCTCGCGGAGGCCGGCCAGTGCGAGCGCGCGCTCGAGGGCATCGCCGACGCCGCCAAGTGGGGCAAGTGAGTGCCCACGTCAGCATGGCGTCATATCTGCGAGCCCTCTCTGTCATCGCGTCTGTATACCTCATTGCGGAACCGACGGCCTTGAGGCTTTCCCGGAGCCTTAGAGGAGACAAATAAAGCGCCTGCCATGCAGTCTCAACTTAAACGGCTCCCGGGCTTCGCTTCCGTACGATTGTCAGTTGAGGTCTTGGAATACATCCTTTGCTGGCAGCAAGAGCTTGGCCTTTCATCACCTGAAGCAGGACACAAACGTCTGGGCGCGCGTTGAAGCCAAGTTCTACAGGCTAAGAATCAGATTGCAACCAAGCAATTATTCGAGGTTAGTGCTGAGAAAGAGTGCATTTTTGTCTTCGAGACGGCAACGACACAAACAGAGGTTCCTACTCCTTTTCCAGGTGGGTAGTGCTCCAGGACTGCCACGCGGCAGGCCCATGGTTGGCCACGTTGCAGGGCGCCCTGGAGGGCCTGAAAGGCAACCCAAACGTGCACGACAACTTCCGGGTTTGGCTCACCACCGCGGCCGCGGCGGACTTTCCGCCGGAGCGGCTGCACGGCAGGTGAGAAGCAACGGAATTGTGGAAAGAGCAAGCCAATAAGCAAAGACGAACCCTCCTAAAAATAGTAGAACTCACAAAGACCCATTGTGTAGCAACTTGCAATTGCTGCTTTGATCTTTCATACGCATTTTGGTATGTTTGGGTCCTGAAAAAATGAACTGGGCACAGCGGTCTTTGGAAGTCCCTTGTACACCAACTTGTGATCCGTGTTCCAGCCTCGAAGACGAGGCGTGGTGGAAAACAGCCGTACAGAGAAGAAGGGCGTTACACGCCATTTCATTTCATAATTGAATGTGTTTTTGTCGTCTTCTCTTGACGTTCCTAAAAGCTGGCCGATGCTGACGGAGTGTCCTTTCTTCTTTCTCCTCTGTTCAGTGTCAAGCTCGTCTTCGAGCCGCCGCAGGGCGTGCGCGCGCACCTGCTCCGCCTACTGCAGCAGCTGGAGGCCGAGACCGCGGCCGCGGCCGCGCCGCGCGCCCAGGCGGCCGCGCTGGCTTGGTACCGGCTCTGCCTCTTCCACGCCATCGTAGTGGAACGCTGCCAACGTGGCAAAATAGGGTGAGGGGACGCTTGCACTGGCCTGTTCGAGCGGAAGGACTTGGTTCACAGGAGTTTCAGAAGTTCAGAGGATCAGAAATTTCGAGCGGCTTGCTCAACAGGTCTCTAGCCTTTTTGTGGTGCCGATGCATTGCTTAGAAGCCGCTCAAGTACCCAAACGCGGGATCCATCTTTCTTACCCACACAGCCGATGAGTCCATGAGGTGCCTGTTTTCGCCGTACAGAGTACGCTTTTTATATTTAACCAGTCAAGGGCACGGGCACAGCGACATTAATATCTCTATTCAAAGCCCTGGAAGACGTCCTATTCCTTTCGACTGTTGTACTTCAAGCTTTCAGGCTGTACTGCCAAGCTCTCAAGGCAAACGTGACATTGTTTGAACACCTTTCTCCTTCCAGGTGGCATTCCCCTTGTTCCTTCACTTCCCACGACTTCCACACCGCCAAGGCTCTGCTCGCGCGCCTGCTCGCGCCGCGCCCCGCGACTCCCGCAGAGCCGCCCGCGCCTAAACCCCAAACCCCCGAGCTCGACAGCCGGCGGCCGACCCCGCGTCAACCGGGCGAGTCGCTGCTTCCAACCACAGCGGAGTGGGTGCTCGGGAGCGGCGGCTCGAAGGGTTCGAAGGGTTTGGGCGAGGCCGACAGTGCGGCCGCGGCGCGCGCGCTGTCCGAAACGCCGGACGGGCTTTTGGATCTGCTGGGGGAGACGGCGTACGGCGGCAGATTGGCGGACGCGTCGGACAGGCGCGCGCTGCGGACGCTCCTCGCGGACTGCTTCGCGCCAGGTCCGGCCATTTGACACCTGTGTATCTGCTCGTTCCATCTTTGGAAAGCTCTTTCAAAAAGTGATATTCATCTTTCCTTACCGGTGGACATCCATCCAGGATTTTTCACATACGGTCTTGAATTCTGCTGCTTACTGGAGCAACCACGATGCTTCTCCTACTGGCAATAAGCCGAACTGAAAGACCCTCTCATCTATTCCTCCCCTTCGTGCGAAAAGCGAGCTCCTCTTTTGTTTGAATATGCAGGTGTCTTTCCGTAACTCAAACTGGGTTTGATGCTCAAATATCTCATCCCGCAGTGCTTTACGCTTTTCCGGTCAATTACGCCTTCAAGTGTGCTGACATCTGAGCCGTATCTTTTCGTTTCAGGAGGTCTTCTCGCAAACGGCACGCAGTACGTTCCTTCGGAGCCCGCTCCGCTCGCGGCCTACCTGGAGCACGCGCGCGCGCTCCCGTGCGACGACCCGGCGGACCTCCTGGGCGTGCGCGCGAGCACGGGCCGAGTCTTGGCGGCAGCGGCCGCGGAGACTCTCCTCGAGCGCGCGGCGACGCTGGGGTGCGGAATGGCCGACGGAAGCGAACGGACGGAAGACGAACAGCAGGTACGTAGCTGTTTGTGCCAGTGATTGAGGTCGATGGAAGCCTTTCTTCTGCAAGGGCTGATTATGATGAAAAGCCCGGGGACCATCAGCAAATGGTCGCTCGATCAAATTATTCGTCTGTCAGCCTTGATTAGACGGCAGCTTCGGACTTGGTCGACTCACAGATGTGAGTAACTGGAACTCCCAACATGCTGCGTCTCTGTTAGATACATTCAGGAGCAGGATCTAGAATGAATGTTAGTGGAGTCGATATGAGAAACGGCCAAGAGAATTCAGCCGGTTAAGAATCCTGAAGAAGCATCACAACTCTATTTTCAGGCACTCGACGAAGAAACCGCACGGGCGGCGCTACTGGGCGCCCTTCCGGCGACCATCCCCGACCCAAAGCCCGGTTCTCGGAGCCTGCGCCAAGATCCGGTGGTCGCCGCGATCGCTTGGGAGGTGCGGCTCTTCAACCGGGAGCTCGAGGCGTGGCGGGAGGAAGATGGAGAGGCCAGGCCCCTGCAGGAGGAGATAGTCAAAACCCTGCGGTTGCGGCGAGACGCGCTCGCGGCCGCGGTGCGCGCGGGCGGCGGGAAGAGCATGAGGCTGTGGCTGCCGGCGTTCCGGTCCCCGCAGGTGAGAATCTTACTCCATCAACCCTCAACGGGTTGAGGACTGCAATACTTTTGACAATCTCCTGATGAGTTTCGTAAACGCAAGACGAGGCAATGTACGAGCTATTTTGGCCGAGCTTTGCTTCCTTCCAATAGTGGAAACAGCACACTATGTCGACGTGTTGTAATCCTCCGGTTCCGCTTTCTTCTCATTCGATCCGTTTCTGGCGGTTCGAATCGAAGAACTTGCCTACCTTGCTGATTCAGACACTGGATTATTGGTGTGTCCCCTCTCAACATGCGCGAAAAAGCGAGGATTCGCACGCCTTTCTACGTCTCTTCTCGGCGTCACGTACGGCAGGTGTGCAGGACACGCGGAACGCAGTTCGTCTTTGTGCTTTGAGGCAAGCAAGTGCTGATTTTCTGTTTATGTCCCTTCAGGCCCTCTTCGCGGCAGTCGCCCATCGATCTGCCCAACAGACTGGCCTACCTCTCGACGAGATCGCGCTGACGTTCGACGTCGAAAGCGTCCCGCGCGACGATCAGCCCCCCGGAGAAAACGAGACCCATTTTTGCTTCGAGGGGCTGATGCTTGAAGGGGCCGTGCTGGCCGATGGAGTGCTCCAACCGCCCGAAGGCGAAGGCGACCACCCGACGCCTGTCTTGGTGCGCGTGGTCGCCCTGCCGAGGACGGATTATGGGCTTGAAGCGGACAGAACGTATCTGTGTCCGGTTCACATTGTCTCTGCGGAAGGGCGCAAGGTGCTCGGCTGGACCCGGTTGCGGTCGGGGCAACGCCCTGAGGGCTGGTGGGAGAAGCGCCAGGTGGCAGTTGTATGTCGGAGCGCGTGGTGCTGAAAAGCTAGTCCCTAACGTTAAAGACAGGCGTTACGAGAGAGCCAGAAAGCTTTTAGGTAAATGCCAACCTTTTCAAGGGATGAAAGGTGACGGCTTGGTACTCTCAGAGTATCGGGTTTATTAATAAGCAAGGATTTACGCTGCGGCCGTCCAGATCCAATGATGGATAGTGTTCCAATCCGATAACAAACGGATTTGGCAAGCCGTGTTGGACCCCAACGCCTCTACATACTCCTTACCTCAGTGCAATGAGATTTTAGACCATAGTGTGCGCTCGATGATAGTCATAGGGGGCAGCATGAGGACAACGGTCGCGACCACGTCAACATGCAGACGGTGCGGGTGTCACGTTTCTCCAATTATTCACTTGTTCAATACTACACTTCATAACTGCTTTGCTGATGGACGTCTGCATGCACCTGAAAATTCAGAGTTGTTGTCATGAAAAACCTCGGCTTTTGCGGCGAGCTCGAGCAAAGTCATTGGACTTGTCTTCGAGTGGGCAACTCTATGCGATCCGTATACAAGGTATCACGATCCAAAGTTACTCGTTTAGCTAGGACACTAGTGACGTTTGACAAGGATATCTAGACGTCAGCCTTTTGACCTTTATTTATTGCGAGGACACCCCCAAACAAAATGGCTCTTGATTTTTTATGAGGGCCCCTTCAAATGAAAGCAAAGAAAGAGAGTAGCGTGCAGAAGCCACGGTAGTACAGGTCCGAAAGGAGATTGGCAGATTGATGATGCTCAGGCTCCTTTTGTTTACGTCTGAAGCTCGACATGTCTAACTTTAGTCGACCTCCGCATCAGAATCGGCCATGTCAGAAGCATTGTGAGCATTGACATGGGGAATGGAGTGCCGCTTTTTTCAAGCACCAGCTCATGCTCCCGTTCACGCACGAACGTCACTGTCCAACTTAGCTGAGCTGTGACAAAATCTCAACAACCTAAGCTTTGCAAGGCGCAAAAGGGCCTTTGATACGCTGCGACACGAATTATATAATTTTCTGCATCTGTTTCATGAGCAGATGAAGGTCTCTGTATTGCCACAAAAGATGTGGAGCTCGTGCTTCTTGTGATGATATTCTTAAAAGTGCTCCTAGCTCCACAGTGCGTCTTGTGATTGATGTTGTTGGGATTTTCTCTGCTCGCGGCTGGGCCAAGCCGAGTGTTAAGTCAACCTGCGTGGAGCGTCGCATTCTTCAGAAGCAACGCTCGAACCTGTTGGTATCCGAACCTCCACTACAGGTTTGAAAAGCTACAATACCGCCATCACACAAACGAGCCTATATATCTGTTTCGGATCAGCCGGACAATTCCCCCGGCCTGGTCGGGCACACCACTTTCTTCGTGCAGGAAGGGTCTTACAGTCCTCTGCCTCTCATCGAATCCGGCTGCGGCAATTGAACGGATCGAGTGTAAGATTTTATCTGTTTCTTACAACCCGGAAACGATGCCTGAAGGTCGACAACACGGCGGCCGCGCGTTGAGGCGCGCGAAGTAAACTCTCCCTCGTTGACGTCGGGATCGGGAACTGTGCAGTTCTGAGCATTCTTTGTTTGTTCAGGATAAAGTGTAGGCGCACAAGAGTAGCTTTTAAGAGGCAATTCCAAGATGTCGGTCAACGTCAGGAAGCCGCAGCAGCCAGGAAGGGGGCCAGTACGCAGCTGTAGCTTTATGCACGTGGCTGTAGGAAGAAGGTTTTTACGACTGTGTTTAGCAGCGATACAGGCGAAGACAGGTGTGCCTGAGCACATGATTGGCGATGATGTCGGAGAAGCAGACATCCCTGGCGTTCAGATGCGCGGCCGTACGATCACCAAAAAACCAGACTGTGTGCTCCATGTTAATCGCTACCTGCGACAGAATTTCCCAAAGCCTGTCCATCAAATGGACAATGATGACCTGTTGGAGGTCTTAGAGAGCGGGCCGACCGTCTTCATCTCAGAAACAGCACTCCATAACGAACCTAATATTGACTATGTGAAAGAGGAGGCGGAGGCCACTGAAGCTGTGTTTGATCAACCAACAGTAAACATTCTGGCAGCTGGCAAGGTTTACGTCAGCAAAGGGTATAAGAGGGTGACAAAACACATGTTCGCTGTCAAAGTACGCAGGGCCGTGATGCAACGGAGCTGGCTTAGTTGGCAGCAGTGGGACCTGCAGCAGTGCAACGCACGCGGAACGCCTGGTTACCGGTTCGACTTCATCACAGAGCAACTTGTTGGCAACACAGAGCTACATCCTGGTTTGAGCAACCATCTGCAGGACAATTTGTCTGTCGATGTATGGTCTTTAAAGCTCCACTGCGAAGGAAGGGCCAAGAGGGAAAGAGATCATCCGTGGAAAAAGCCTTACTAGCACTACGGCTCGCATCCTAGTATATATGTTGAGAAGCAACTGCGTTGACGGACACGTAACATATTCACTCATACACGCAGCACCGGTTTCCTCAGCGTTTCCAGAGCAGCAGCTGACGATTAGCCACAATCAGGCGTTACATCGGACGACATTAAATCTGTGAGGAAGTTTCAAAAGCTACCCATTCGGTCCATTCGTGTATTCAAATGGTAGATGCCGGTGGATGTGTGTAACCAAAGCTGATTGTCATACTGCTTTTGTCGCATTGAAACAGCGCTATCATGGCTTGTACAGTGCGCATAAAGGGTGTATACTTTGCTACGTGCATAGATCGTAGACATGATCTGCATATTCAAACATTCGAAAGCGTCCTGGACGGCTAGCTAGACGTATACAAAGATGGCGTTCAAGAACAGTGTCCTGGCATGTTTCGCGAGGAGCAGAGGTTGAGTCGAATTTGACACAACACGTTCCTTTGGCGCAAACCCAAAAAACTGTCATTGTCTCGGGACTGGAACTTGAATTGGGAGGCACAATTGCCTTCACGCACTTACAACGATGATTAATTCTTCCAGTCAGGCCAAGCTAGCTTGACACCAACAGACAAAATGCAACCGGAAATCCCTGCATTGCCAAGCTCGCGGCTTGTGATGTATGAAGAGCTTGGAAAGCCTCATCGGTTGCATGGCAATTTTCAGGCTCATGTGGCAAGCGACAGTGACAGAAGAAATGATGCAGCTCTTTATCTCTTGTCAAACCTTGACCGGCAAAAGTCGAAGTGACTCATATTTCTTCCAAACTCACTCGTCCGTAAAGTCTGGTACTATGTACACAGTCCTTAGGGTGCTGTCTAGCTCAACGGCAACCTAGACGTCTTTCGTACGACCTCTTGACATGTACTCTTCCCAGTTTAGCTGTTTGCATCCAAAGCGATAAGGACATCACAGATCAGATCCGTTAATTGAGATCATTTGGACTTTTTGGGTACCTCACAAAGGCAAGTTGTCGAGATTCGACGGAAGAGGCGCCCGGCGCGCGGCGGCGCGCCCAGCGGCGGCCGAAGCAGTGCGCAGAACTTCTCAGGAACTTCCAGGCTATCCTTAGGCGCCTGTATTGCCTTGTCAGTGTAGCACGGCCGTTTAATTTGTGAAGGACACCATATTAAAAGCGCGCGCATGCGAAACTGTAGACTGGAAGCGGACACCCACTTGGAGCAATTGCAATATCATTCGCCACATATACCGAGCATATACCTGACCAAAAACACGTACTGACGTCCGTTTAAGCCACGATCTCAACGATCGTTTGCAAGGCTTTGAAGCAACTTCGGAGAACGGGTTGAAATCAAGACGGAAATGATTAAGATGCAGGAGCTGTCAAGTGCTTCGCGAGAGGAACGAACAACTTCCACCTTCTCAATCTATTATTATCTGCGTTCTTGCAATTTGTCCATTCATTGGCAAGGATGCACACCTCCATTTTGGTGGCGCCTGATACAACTTGAAGCGATTGCATCAACGCCTTTACTTACCTCCGAGCTTAGCCTGAGGCAATTCGGTTGATTCTTCAGGAGAGCCGCATCACCGCGCATCATATCATGCAACCCGCCTTTCTTCGCTGCCTCAGTATGGATTCCTGATCGACGTACAGGCAAACGCAGTTGATCCCGTGTCCTTGCAGGTTATGGGTTTATGGTATGAAAAACCCAGATGTGTACGTTTATACGTTGCACCGAGATAGACCTGTGACACTGCATGAAAATATGCAAATGAGTGGTACGACATCCTACAAAGTACGGATCAAAGAAGTGCCAAATGCATCTGCAAATGCTGTGTGCATTAGCAATTGAGCCCCAGATCTGATCGCCGCCTGTAGGCGGCCAGATCATAGATGTGCTGGATGCCCGCTAGATGACAATCAGTGCACAGTATTGGCATACAACTCAGGCTCCCTAGCAATTGAGATCATTGCCGGTCGAGTCGGGGCCGAGTCACAATAGATTGGAGCAGACTGGAGACCTGAAGTTACTGACACTATCACAGACTGACAAGTGCTATCACAGTCATGAAACTCAAGAAGAATAATAGTAAGCCCAGATATAGTAAGGTTAAACCGCACTGTGACGGGTAGGGTTAGTATGGTAGTTAGGGTGGGTACGGGTGCGGAGCGGGTATTTTATTTAAGGTTAGGGGTTTCAGTGTTAGTCGGAGCTTATTATTATCTCATGGCTTACTATTATCTTTCTCCGGAGTTATATCACAGACTGGCAGTGTCGTCTTGAATGGTATGGGACATTCAGATAAGTGACATTAGCCTGGGAAGGTCATTTGAAGCCTGTGGTACCCCCCCTATTTTTTTAATGAGGGGGGGGAGCATAGGGCCCCGAGCCGCGCTCGGGGCCCCTATGGGGGGGGGACACACCCACACTTTCCTCACGGGCGTGCTTGATATGGGGGCACCTTTAACGAGCTTAGCCTTTTAGGTAGCTCAAGGGGGGGGAGCATGGAGCCCGGTCCCCATTTACATGTGATTCTAGGCTAAATCAAGCTCCAAATGGCGTATATGAACTAATATTCGTCAAAAACTCCTTGCAAAATGCCCCTTACGATCGAAAATTTTGAACGCAGATTAGCAAG